AAGAAGGGGGGACCATTGAAAAAATTTCACTTCCAAAAAAGTCGTCTAAAAATTCTGAAAAAATTCAAGAACGTAGATCTCGACAAGCTGATTCCAAAAATATAGCTTGTTAATGGTCACGGAGCAACATTTTCGAAAAAATCGGCATGAAATGCGAATTTTTAAAAATTTCTAAAATTTCGATTTTTCGACGGTCGATTCTGGAAAAACGGTTGCAGTTATCAGGGAAACGAGGCCGGAAGTGAGTTCTAGAGTTCAAAATCTACAAGAAAATGCATTCAGTTAAGTTTCGAAAATGTCGAATTTTGACCGAAATTTGAAGAAGGGGGGACCATTGGAAAAATTTCACTTTTAAAAAAGTCGTCCAAAAATTCTGAAAAAATTCAAGAACGTAGATCTCGACAAGCTGATTCCAAAAATATAGCCTGTTAATGGTCACGGAGCAACCTTTTTGGGAAAAATCGGCATGAAATGCGAATTTTCAAAAAATTCTAAAATTTCGATTTTTCGAGGGTCGATTCTGTAAAAACGGTTGCAGTTATCAGAGAAACAAGTCCGGAAGTGAGTTCTAGAATTCGAAATCTAGAAGAAAATGCATTTAGTTAAGTTTCGAAAATGTCGAATTTTGGCCGAAATTTGAAGAAGGGGGGACCATTGGAAAAATTTCACTTTTAAAAAAGTCGTCTAAAAATTATGAAAAAATTCAGGAGCGTAGATCTCGACAAGCTGATTCCAAAAATATAACGTGTTAATGGTCACGGAGCAACATTGTCAAAAAAATAAGCATGAAATGCGAATATTTGAAAATTTCCAAAATTTAGATTTTTCGACGGTCGATTCTGGAAAAACGGTTCCAGTTATCAGGGAAACGAGACCGGAAGTGAGTTCTAGAGTTCGAAATCTACAAAAAAATGCATTTAGTTAAGTTTCGAAAATGTCAAATTTTGGCCGAAATTTGAAGAAAGGGGGACCATTGGAAAAATTTCACTTTTAAAAAAGTCGTCTAAAAATTCTGAAAAAATTCAGGAACGTAGATCTCGACAAGCTGATTCCAAAAATATAGCCTATTAATGGTCACGGAGCAAAATTTTCGAAAAAACAAGCATGAAATGCGAATATTTGAAAATTTCTAAAATTTAGATTTTTCGACGGTCGATTCTGGAAAAACGGTTTCAGTTATCAGGGAAACGAGGCCGGAAGTGAGTCCTAGAGTTCGAAATCTACAAGAAAATGCATTTAGTTAAGTTTCGAAAATGTCGAATTTTGGCCGAAATTTGAAGAAGGGAGGACCATTGAAAAAATTTCACTTCCAAAAAAGTCGTCTAAAAATTCTGAAAAAATTATAATGAAATATGGATTTTGCAAAAATGTACCATTTTAACCATGTTTCAATTTCTTGTTGTGAAAAGATGGCCATGTATATTAAGAAGAAAAAGGCAAAAATATAAGCCCGCCCATCCGCCCTGTCTCAATTCTGATTTTTTTTATTCGTGTTAAGCAGAGGGGCAGATCCTAATTGCAAAAACCACATTACCTTACAAAAGTTTACTATTTTAAACGTGTTTCGAGTTTCTAAGAATAAAAAAATCATTACAATCGAGATGGGGTGGGTGGGCGGGGTTTATATTTTGTTCATTTCTTAATGTACATAGTATTCTTTCAGCAACACGATACTCAAAAACATGTTTGTAATTTCTCGTAAAGAAATAAGTATTTTGCAGTTAAGCTCCGGTTCACGGCCAATAAAAAAATCATTACAATTGAAATAGGGCGGGTGGGCGGGCTTACTTTTTGCCTTTTTCTTTTAATATGTGTAGACATTTTCACAACATAAAACTTAAATCATGTTTAAAATGGAAAATTTGTAAACGTGATTGCAAAATTCATATTTCCTTGCAAAAATGTACCATTTTAACCATGTTAAGGAAACGATTAAATATCTTGAGAACCAACTGTACAAATTATCTGAAGTTAGGCGTAGGGGTATAAGAAGCTGTGCTCTAATTATTCGTGAAAAATTTTTTTTTTGCTTCGTTTGTTTTCGAGATGCAAGGCCAAATTGATTTTGATTCATTTTTCTCTTTCGGATTTTCTCGGATTTTTCCCGATTCTTTCGAATTCTCTCCGATTCCCTTGGATTCTCTTTGGATGTTCTCTCAAATTCACCCGGACTCTGGGAATCTATCGGATTTTTGTGTTTTTTCGGATTTTTTCAGATTCCTCTAGATCGAATGTTTAAGTTCTGTCGGACAATAAATCTACTTATTATTCCATCGAATTTTCCGAATTCTCCCAAATTCTTTCCACTCTCTTAAATTTTTTCGTATTCTTTCGTGTTTTTTAATATTTTTTCGGATTCTCTAGGAGTCTGTCTTAGATTATTATTAGTCTGTTAAACTTATCTATATTCTTTCGGATTTTTCAGGATTCTCTCTAATTTTCCTCGATTCTCTTGGATTTATTTCGGATTTGTCAGGAAATTTTATAATGTATATATTTTTTTAATTCAGTGGACTATTTGACTATTTTTGGAAGAAGTAGATTTTTTAAATCTGAATTTTGTTTTTAGAAAAAATTTCACTTTTAAAAAAGTTGTCTAAAAATTGTGAAAAAATTCAGGAACGTAGATCTCGACACGCTGATTCCAAAAATATAGCGTTTTGATGGTCACGGAGCAACATTTTCGAAATTATTGATACGAAATGCAAATTTTTAAAGGATTTCAACCGAAGTTGAAAAAATGCATCAACTTTTAAGTGGGATTTATAAATTTTGCAGTTAAGGTCCACCCTCTTGGTTCACGGCGAATAAAAAAATCATCACAATCGAGACAGGGTGGGTGGGCGGGCTTATATTCAGCCTTTTTGTTTTAATATGTGTGCACTTCTTTTTACAACATGAAACTTAAAACATGGATGATTGGACAAATTTTGGTCCACAAAGAAATATTGCTTAATAAATCAAATCAACACGTTTCCAAGCTCCCAATGATATTTAAAAACGATCCGTTTCATTTCGCCGGCTTTTTGTGAAATATGCACTCAATTTGAGTGATGGGACGAAACACTTTCGCCCACAACTCGCGTCTTGCTCTTTTTGGATTCCACTCACAATATTTTAATTAAATTCATTTCAAAACCAACAGCAAAAAACACCCATAATTAAAACTCGGTTATCTGTGTACACAAAACCGACCTTCCAGGAACAATTATTTTCCTTTACGTTGATTAATCCGTTTTATTCATTTCATTAACACGTGTTGTTCCGCTAGGTCAAGGCCCCGATAATTTTCACATCACGTAATCGACATAAACTCAACTAAATTGTAATTATGTTTGGCATTTCACCTACTTTCCCGGTAAATAAACCAACGCCCACTGTTGGTATTTTTGAACAACAAAAACGTGCTTCAGACAATTATGAAAAAATGTTGCGCATTCCTGCGAAACAGGCTTAAAGCCTTATTGTTCGCGTCTGGCCTAACACCATTTAACGTCCAAATTAAATAAATAGCTTTCCCGACCATCTGCGCCCGTTTTCCCGATCTGCATCCCAAGGGAGTCGACGTGCCACCGACGAAATAACTTTGCGACTTGCGGATCGATTCCTTTCAGGATTTTCAATCCAACGAATACCTTAATAATCGTTTAATCAAGCGACACGGATAGTCTAATTCGAGCATTTAGAACGCATTAAACAAATTAAAAAAACTTAAATAGTTGAAACGTCTGTCGAAATTGACCAAGATGGTTAAAATTCCGCTGCTCTCCTTCAAGAAGGTTTACAATTTCGGCAACTATTTGGCAATTACGCCGCCGTACTCTTTCCAGAAGAGCAAAGGTTATGGGTTCAGGTGTTACGTAATTGTGGCTGGGATTGTTTCAGTGATAGCGGAATTGTGGTCGGTATGTTACCGATCGGAGGTTATCAGTAGTTTTAGGACTTCGGTGAGGGTGTCAGACGTGATCAACGAAGTCACTCTATTCGGGACTTACTTAACCATAAAGTTGGACTTGTGTTTGAGAAAAAACAACCAGTGGAAAAATCTCCTTAAACTAATACATTATTTAAACAAAAACTTATCCAATAAAAACGACGAAAACTCAGTTATGAAGTTCCTGACGATACAAATGGTTGTAGGACACTTATTCTATTTTCTCGTACTTTTTTATCAGTGGTTTGCACTAATCACCACAGCGGGAATAACGTTAGACTTTGCAGGGACCTACGTTGTGCACACCTTGAGTTGCTACAACGTCATGTACGTCATAATACTAATGAACACGATTTTATTCACTCTGGAGACCAAATACAAAAATTTGAACAACAGTTTCCAGCTAATTCTAACCCAAAAATTTCTCTGCTACGACGTAAACAAAAAAAACGTGGGTGTTATCCGAGAGGTGGATTTTTTCTTCAGAAAACTCGAAGACTGCGTTGACGTTTTTAACACACTATTCGGTAATGTGGTCATTATGAAACTCACCAATATCGTGATTAACGTCATCGTGATGATCAATGTTTCGTTTCTGAGCAGCTCGTTAGGTCCGCACGATTACGATATTACTACTAAGGACGTCCTAGTCTCCAACATTTTAGCAACGTGTTTTACCATGGTCTGTATAGTGGGATTAAAATAGCCATTTTTATTTTATTAAATTTGTAGAGTTGGGTTGTTCTTTTCGTCCTTCTTTGTCAAAGGGTTATCAATGAAGCGAAAAATACAGTCAAGTTGTGCTATTCGTCCCAAGGGGAAGTCCCGATAAAGTCCGACGAAAGAGAAGAGTTGCTAAAATTGGCGATGATAACGCAGGCTAAAATTCCACTCTTTACAGCGGCCGGTTTTTTCGAAATAAATAAAGGGACACTGGTGAGCATTTTTGGTACGATTACCACCTACGTTATAGTTCTGATCCAAATAAACATCAGCATGTATTAGTAATAAATCAATAAATGGGGTTGATTCAATAAAACGCCTTTACAACAACACAACATATACTTCAATACATAGCCACATAATAAATAAAAAACTTTGGCAACTTATTTTTGGTACAGTTTTAACACAACTTCACGCGTCCAGGACGTGGTTCAAATAAGCAATGTAACAAATCGCCAGTCGCAGGATCTCGATTTTGGATAGTTTCTTGTCCGGGGGCAGCGTCGGCAGCAGTTTTCGCAGTTCCGCGAAGGCCACGTTGAAGGCCTCCACTCGGATTCGTTCCCTGGTGGCGTGTGCCGTTCTGTATTTCTGGGTGGCCCGGCGCCTCCTGCGCCGCTCCTCGCGACTCAGAGCCCCCATATCGCTGCTTTTCTCCCTGTAATCAATCAATACGGGCGTGCATTTTCATATGGAAATGGATCGGGGAGGCGATAAACAACGTTCTTTATGGTGATGTAAAAGGGCAATGTGACATTTACGGTACCGTTTGCGAGCTGGAGCCACGTTGTTGCAGGAGGTGATTATTTGAAGAACCTCCCGGCTCTCGGCGTTGCTCGTCATGGCATCTTCAGATGAGGAGGAGCAACACCAGACTTGAATATCCTTAATTTTTCTGGGGGAAAAATAAGGGAGTGAAATGAAGTTGTAGTTTTTTGTTTTGAGTTAGTGTGGGTGGTCCAAATCAATAAAAGGTAAGTAAAATTACGTTTGCTTGAAAATATAAACAAAAATAAATTTGTTAAGCGTTTTAGTTAAGAGGGTATTTAGCACTATTCCGGAAAAACTGAGAAGTCAAAAATTACTTAAAAAATCACGTTTACGCAGGAATGATGCATCTATCAGTGAAAATAATCCCATGTTGATACGACAACTGGATTTCAAAATATTCGGTTTCAAAGTCAAATTTTTTAAATAACTCAAAAATTGACATAATTTTGGCGATATTGGTAAAATGCTAGGAATTTTGGTAAAACTGACGCCGCTAAAAACTTCAGGGAATCGAAATCAACAAAAAAACTCGATACGACAACTGGTTTTCGAAATATTCGGGTTCAAAGTGAAATTTTCAAATATCTCAAAAAATGCTACATTTCATTTTGGAAAAATGATAGAATTTTTCTAAGACCAAAGCAGTAAAAAACTTCAAGAAATTCAAAGCAACAAGAAAAATCTCCTTTGCTAAATTTTGAAGATGATAGAGAAAAATCAGAATTCTCAAAGTATTGAAAAATTGAATTTTCACGAAGTTGTCCAGAAATCGACGAAAAATTATTCTGGGAAATAGATTTTGACGAACTGAACCCAAAAACACAGTATGTTGTTCGTCCTGGACCAAAATTGAGGGCAATCATTGAAAATTCCAGAACAATCTTCGGTCAGTAATTTTTCGATTTCCCAATTATCTACGTTTTTGATTTTCAATTTTTGGATTTGTCAATTTTTAATTTTTCGTTCTGTCAATTTTTGAATTCTTCAATTTTCAGACTTTCGTTTTGATTTTTAAGATTTCGGTTTTAGAAGTTTTAATTTTTCATTTCAATTTTTCCATTTTCAATTTTACGACTTTATAACTATCGGTTTTTTCAATTTTTTGAATTTCTCAATATCCCATTCTTAATACTTTGATTTATAATTTTCGAATTTTTAGATGTTTCGACTATTGATTTTTCAACTGCCCAAATTTTCGATTTTCCGATTTTACAAGTTTGTAATTTTTCGATTTCTCAATAACCTACCTGATTTTTGAATTTCACGGTTTTTGATTTTCTTGATTTTTCAATTTTACGGCTTTTCAATTTTTTGATTTCTTAATATTTCATTTTAGTTTCCCAATTTTTATGTTTTCGATTTTTTTTTTTTGTAAATTTTCCATTTTTTCGATTTTTCAATTTTACAGTTTACCCAAATTTTCAGTTTTCCAATACTTGATTTTTCAAATTGTTGATTTACCAATTTTTCGATTTTCCAGTTTCTTTCGATTAATTTTTCAACTATTTGGTTTTTCGATTTTTTAATTTTTCGATTTTTGATTTTTTTTGGACATTTCTGTTTTGATTTTCAAGTTGTCGGTTCTAGAGTTTTTAACAACTACTTATTCGTTTTTTCAAATTCTTCAATTTTTCAATATTCCCAGTTTTATTGGCTCAATTTTTATTTTTTTAATTTTTCGATGCTTCAGTTATTAATTTTTCAATTGCACAAATGTTCAGTTTTTCAAATTTTCAAAGATTTTTGATAAGAAAGTCAGGTCAGGTCAGCGCGATTCTAAAAGTCTGTAGTTCTTTCGATTTTTCAGTTTCTTGATTTTTCAACTTCACGATTTTTAATTTTTTTGATTTCCCAATATTTCGATTTTTAATTTCTCTATTTTTAATTCTTCGATTTTTTGATTTGTCAATTTTTAATTTTTCAATTTCTCGATTCTTCAATTTATTTTTCGATTTTTCACTTGAGATTTTTTAATTTTTCGACTATTAAATTTTCAACTATTACTAAATTTATTTTATTATTTATTTATCCTTTGTCAATTTTTGGATTCTTCAATTTTTAAACTTTTCAGTTTTGATTTCTAAGTTTTCCGTTTTAGAATTTTTCATTTTTCATTTTTTCAATTTCTCCATTTACAATTTTACGATTTTACAACTATCCATTTTTTCAGATTTTTAATTTTTTCAATATTCGCACTTTTAATATTTCTAATTTTTCGATGTTCAAATTATTCATTTTCAATTGCCCAAATTTTCAATTTTTCATACTTGGTTTCGCAATTTCACGATTTTCCAGTTTTTCGATTTTACAAGTCTGTAATTTTCCGATGTCTCAATAACTTACCTGATTTTTCAATTTCTCGATTTTCATGATTTTCAAATTTTACGATTTTTCAATTCATTGATTTCGCAGTATTTCCATTTTTGGTTTCTCAATTTTTAATTTTTCGATTTTTAGATTTCTCAATTTTTCAGTTTCCCAATACTTGATTTTTCAATTTTTGGTTTCTCGACTACTAATTTTTTGATTTTTCAACTTTTAGCCTTTTCAGTTTTGATTTTCAAGTTTTCGGTTTTAGAATTTTTAATTTTTGATTTTTTCAATTTTTCGATTTCCAATTTTACGATTTTACAGCTATCCGTTTTTCCAAATTTTGCAATTTCTCAATATTTCCATTTTAATTACCGCAATTTTTAATTTTATAATTTTTCGATGTTTCAATTATTGATTTTCCAATTGCCCAAATTTTCGGTTTTTCAATACAATTTCGCAATTTCTCGATTTTCCGATTTTACGATTTTTCACTTTTTTGATTGCTCATGTGTGGGCTTAATTTTTCGATTTTTGGATTTGCCGATTTTTATTTTTTTCTATCTCAATTTCTAATTTTCCGATTTTTCGATTTCTCAATTTTACACTTTACCCAAATTTTCAGTTTGCCAATACTTGATTTTTCAAGTTCACGATTTTTCAATTTCTTGATTTATGAATTTTTCGATTTTCCACTTTGGAATATTCGATTTTTGATTTTCAAATTTTCGGTTTTAGAGTATTTAATTTTTCATTTTTTCAATTTTTCTGTTTCTAATTTTACGATTTTACAACTATTCTTTTTTTCAAAATTTTCAGTTTCTCAATATTCCCATTTTTATTACCTCAAATATTAATTTTCTAATTTTTCGATGTGCCAATTATTGATTTTTCAATTGCCCAAATTTTCAGTTTTTCAATACATACTTACTTGATTTCGCAATTTCTCGATTTTCCGATTTTACGATTTTTCAATTTTTTGATTTCTCAATATTCCCATTTTTGGTTTCTCAATTTTTGGATTTGTTAATTTTTAATTTTACGATTTTTTTCGACTTCTCAGTTTCACGGTTTACCCAATTTTTCAGTTTTCCAATATTTAATTTGTCAATTTCTCATTTTTTTCCACTTTGGAATATTCGTTTTTTTAATTTACCGATTTGTCAATTTTTTGTTTCTTCAATTTTTTGACTTCTTTTGATATCAAGATTTTTCAAATTTTCCATTTTTTGAATTTTTCATTTCCAATGACACTTTCGGTTTTTTCAAATTTTTCGATGTTTCAGTTATTGATTTTTCAGTTATCCAAATTTTCTATTTTTCAATACACGCTTGATTTCGTATTTTCTCAATTTTTCGATTTTACAAGTCTGTAATTTTCCGATTTCTCAATTATATCAGATTTTTCAGTTTTCCGATTTTTCAGTTTTCTGATTTTTTAATTTTTCCACTTTTAATTTCTCAAATTTTAATTTTTCGATTTCTCAATTTTACTATTTTTCCATGTTTCAGTTTCTCGATTTCTCAATTTTTCGATTTTCCAGTTTAGATTATTCGATTTTTTAATTTCTCGACTATTAATTTTTCGACTACTCGATTTTTAGATTCTTCGATTTTTTTACTTTCAACTTGTCAATTTTTGGGTTATTTAAGACTTTTTCAGTTTTGATTTTCAAGTTTTCGGTTTTAGAATTTTTCATTTTTCATTTTTTCAATTTTCCGATTTTACGATTTTACAACTATCCGTTTTTTCAAAATTTTCAGTGTTTAAATATTCCCATTTTTAATGTCTCAATTTTTAATTTTCGCATTTTTCTATCTTTCAGTTACCGATTTTTCAGTTTCTTGATTTTTCAATTTTACAATTTTGCAATTTTCTGTTTTCTCAATATTCCATTTTTAATTTCTCAGATTTGAATTTTTCTCAATTTTACGATTTTTCCAATTTTCAATTTCCTTTTTTTTTTAGTTTTTCGATTTTCTCTTTAGAATATTCGATTTTTTAGTTTCTCAAGTATTAATTTTTCACTTATTCAATTTTTCAATTTTTTTTGTTAGAAATGTGGAAAAATTTAAAAAACGAAAAACTAAGATATCGGAAAAAATAGAAAAATCGAAAAGCTGAAAAAATTAAAAATTGGAAAACCGAAAAAATGGAAAGCCAAAGAACTGGAAAAACGAAAAACTAAAAACGAGAATCTTAAAAATCGAAAAATTAATGAATCGAAAAATTTGTAAGAAAAACCCGAAAGCGAAAAAGTGCAAAACTAAAAACTGAGATAATTAAAAATGGGAGAATTGAAAATCGAAAAATTCTAAAATTGTAATATTGAAAAAGTGTTTTTTTTTATTATTATTGTTATTTCGTATTTGAAATGAAAACTAAAAGAAGTGCAAATCAAAAGTTGAAGAACAAAAAATCTAAAAATTAAAAACCGAAAATTTGAAAAATCTGAAAATTGAACAATTGTTAACTTTCTAATTTTTCGAACTTTCAGTTAATTATTTTTCAATTTCTCAATTATCTGATTTTACAATTCTCTGATTTCTCAATATTTTCATTTGTAATTTCTCAAATTTTAATTTTTCGATGTCTGAATTTTACAATTTTTCCGTTTTTCAATTTTTGATGTTCCCTTTTAGAATATTGGATTTTTTAATTTTTCGATTTTTCAGTTTTGATGTTCAAGTTCGGTTTTAGAAGTTTTAGTTTTGATTTTTTTCAATTTCTCAACATTCCCATTTTTACCAAATTTTCAGTTTTTCAGTACTTGATTTCACAATTTTTCAATTCTACAAGTTTCTGTAACCCGATTTTTCAATTTTTCGATTTACGATGGCATTTTTGATAAGGATGTATTTAACGCGGTTCCAAAAAAACTGGGTTGCCAAAAATTATGAAAAAAATCGTGTTTACGCAGAAACAATGCCTCCATTACAGAAAATAATCCCAACTCGATATGACAACTAGTTTTTGAAATATTCACATTCAAACTCAAATTTTCAAAATGAGTAGGTATCTCAAAAATTGTTAAATTTCATTTTGGCGCTTTTGGACAAATTATACGAATTTTCCTAGAACTGAAGTCGTAAAAAACTTCAAAAGATCAAAATCAACAAAAAATCTCATTGGCTAAATTTCCAAGGTTCTCGAGGAAAAATCGAAATTTTCAAATGGAAAAACTGAACTTGTCTAGAAGCTGCCTAAAAATCCACAAAAATTTTCGACCAATTGAATCCAAAAACATGACATACTGATGATTCCGGACCAAGAAAAATCCGGAAAAACTGAATAATAATTGCATTGAATGTTTTACACTAATTGCAATATACTTTCTATTCATTGGATATCTTGAAACATCTTTGTTAGATTTAGAGGTTTTCGATATCCTAAATAGGTTTTGCCCCTCAGCCTCAGTTCCTGCTTCAATTTTTTCTTATTTAGATTACAATGCAATGGAGATCGTTTTCCCTAAGTTATTAGTATTAATCAATCGCCACTGATTCCAATTTAGCACCAAACTATTTCACCAAATTTTAATAGAAATTTTGTTGCATTCTTAACACTGCCACTGAATAATTACTACTTTGAAACCCTCGAAAATTCAAGTTTGCCTAATTTCAGACTTTCAAGGTATCAACCCCTGCATTTTCAACACGCCCCAACCCCAAATCCGCACCAATTCCATAAATACTAGATCAATCGTCGCAATATTTTCATAAAACTTGTCATTCCTCGCTAACCCAATCCGAAATTCCTCCCATTTCACGGAGCGTCGGTCCCCAGGGGGCAATAGAATCGCCAAGGGACCAAACCACGCACGTGGCCTTACTTATCGCCCCCGAATTATGCGATTATCAATCATATAAACAACATTCTAATTCGATTACAATCACACGCTCGCTGGGAACAACGTTGCGAGAAATTGTTACAAGATCTGGGGGAGAGTTAATTTTCGAAATGGTGTTGGCAGGAGTGATGATGGGTCCGAAATCAAGGACTCGCCATATGCTGATGGCACAGTTACGGGAAATGTCATTGTCAAGCGCCGCAAGTAATTTTTGATTTATGGAGGCGGCTTTGAACTTTTTGGGTGTTTCGCAAGCTTGGGCCGACCGTGACCCAACTCCTCCGTGATAAATGGGCGCATTTTTTAAAAGTGAAGGGTAATTTTTTTCGAGAGAAGCGAGCTTTCAAACGCAATTTTAAATATAATTTCCAGCGTTATTTTTTGTTTGATAATAATTAAGATTTTTTTCATTTTACAATTTAAGATCAAAATTTTTGGTATAAAGGTGTTAAAACTACCCCATTCTTACCTGGATCTTTGCACACCACCCTGTAACACGCACTTGTCTCGCGAGATTCTTATCAACTGGCTCGCAATCAAAGGGATGAATCCGGCATCGGCCCAGCATCCGGGCCCACCCCTGGACCAATCCCCGTCCGGCATCCCTCTCGCGCCGCCCCTAATCAATATCGGCATTGTTAAAATCGCGTTAATAACTCGACGGGGGTGGAGTTTTCCGCTTTTCTAAAACAAGCGACGAAAATCTCCGGAAAATCCATCCCTGCCGGACAAGAATGTCGGTTGTCGTGGAAATAATTGTACGTTTCCAAGGTAAATTCCGAGTTGTTGATATCAATGATGGGAATTTTGGCAATCGATCGGGAGATGTCAAACCCAGAAAAATGCTTGATAGTAATATTTAAATAATGTGGTGGTTATTGATTGTGATCGCGTGACGTCACTGAGATCCTCTCATGTCTCTGCATTTCAGTGCCAATCAGGTGAGATCGAAACGATTTTTTCCGGGCCGTTTTTGCACGCGGTTTATCAGTACGTGGCGGCGTCGGGGGCGGCGAGACGCACTCCTCCAGGGTGTACAAGTGTTAGTGATACCAAAATATATAGACAAAAATCTAGTTTTTTTCGTAAAAAAATACTTTATTGGCGTGCGACTTACAAATAAATAACAACTAGTGGTAAGCGTGTCCGGCGTACGCGACCGGAGCCGCCACCTTGGCTACGGGGGCGGCGTAGGCAACAGGTGCCGCCACTTTGGCGGCCAAAGGCTCCCTGTGAACCACGGCGTTGAACCCGTGAACCGGGTCGGCGGTGTACTCCACGGTACGCTTAGTACCATCTGGGTCGATCACGGAGTAGCTGCCCTGGACGACGTCGCCAGAGCGGTGCTCCGTCTGGCTCTTGGAGTCGCCGGTGATGGCGTCCTGGACGTCGTACCCGTAGGCGTACTGGGGGTTGGGGTCGTATTCCTCGACCTTGGCGACGGGGGCGGCGGCGTACGCCACTGGAGCGGGAGCGTAGGCTTTGGCGGCGACCGGTGCGGCGTAGGCCCTAGCGATGGGGGCGGCGTAACCGCCGGCGAAGGGGGCGCCGGCGTAGCCCACAGGGGCGATGCCGGCGTTGGCGGCGGCCACGAGCGCAGCGAGGGAAACAAACTGAAAAACGGGGGTGAAAATCGAATTTTTGACCATTTTGGTTTTTACCTTGAGTGCCATCGTCGATGTGCTTACCGAGCATTCGCGCCGCTTTTATATACCATGCCGAAGTGGAACGAATGATCTGGATCGACACACCCATCATCTGACCACCGAATTATATAACCATGAATTTTTATGCAATCGGTTTATGCGTTTGTCATGATCGGAAAAATTGATGTGGTGTGTGAAATGTCAAGTTTGGATGGGTCGTGGTTGCGCCACGGTCTTGCGATGGGTTATCTCGCAACCGGACCACTTAATTAATTGCCCCGACAATCTTAATTGATGGTATTTCGCACGCTAAAGTCGCGTGTTTGCGACACGGAGTTCCTGAACCTGACAATCTGCTCATTTCGCACTTGAATTTTAAAAATAATAAATCTGTCATCCTTGCTATTATAGCCAAAACGCGCGTTGTGAAACGGACAAGGTGTCCAAATTTTCTAATTTATCGCGGCACCTTGAATTTTCGGCCAAATTTTACTTTCATCGCGATTTTGCCGTGCATCGATATTAAATCCGGGCGGATTATGCAACTCGAAACAATCGTCATGGCACGCGAAAAAATAATAACTTGCTCTCCCTAAATTATTATCTAGTTCGAATCGTGTAGCAGGAAGAGGAAGCGAACCTCATAACAATCGATGTTCAAAACGAGTCGTCAGTGCGACGTAGGTCTTGTACAAGAGTTGATGGCGAAGACAATGCTTTATAAACCACGATGTGTCATCGTGAGGTTGTAATCAATCAACTTTTTGACTGTTAATGGACGGTACAAAGGCCCGTTGTGTTTGTGCGTGTGTGGCTGCGACGAGGAAGGGTTAGTATCGGCCAGAGGGGCGCAAGCGAAAATTTGGCTTGGTGTGGTTTTGGTAACAATAGAGGGGTTTTTTAATAACTAGCTTGTTTATTTATTTAATTTTTTAATTTTGTATTTTTCGAAACTCAGAGTACTTGTGTTGTGTGTGAGTGGATTTTTGCTTCCGTTTATGGAATACAAAAACATATGGCCATTAAAACTAAAATCTTTTAATTTATTTCTGTCAAAATCTCAAATTTGACATCATATCATGGGCAGTGCTCCCATTTTTTCAAATTATTGATATCCTTATTTATTGGTTCTTTAATTATAAAATTTGAAATATATTACTCTCTGAGTATAACCTAAGGAAGTATCGTAATCGAATCCATCGGGCAATTTGCTAATTTCATGTATTTTCGACGTTTCCTGACCTCTAGAGTACGAAAAAAGTGGTTTCCCGTTTCCGTCTAAAAAAGTGGTTTCCCGTTTCCGTCTATCTGTCTGTCTGTCTGTCGTCTGTATCAATTTTTATTAGACACCTAATCTCCGAATCTACGCGACCGGTTGTTGTCAAATTTTGTGTGTATATTATTATTATTTTGCATTTTAACTTTGAAACCGAATGCTCTGAAATCTTGCAAACGTTTTAATGTTATCTTAATCAGTTGTCGTTTTTTCAATTTTTCGATTTCCAAACGGTTCAATTTTTCGTTTCTTCAATATTTCGATTTGCAGTTTTTTAAACTAGCAATTTTTCCACTTTACAATTTTCTCAATTTTTAATTTTCGATTTTTCAAAGTTTTCTTTCTTCAGTTCTTTGAATTTTTCGTTTTTTCAGTTTTTCAAGTTCTTCATTTATAATTTTTCATTTGCCAATTTTACAATTTTTTGAAGCAGAAAAACTAAAAAGAGAAGCCTTAAAATCCAGTTGAAAAATTGGAAAACTCAAAAATTGTAAAATCAAAAACTTATGGAGAAATTGAAAAATTAAAAATGGAAAAACTAAAAATCGAAAAATTGAAAAATTCTAAGATTGTACTTTGAAAAAGTGAAAAACTTTGAAAGTCATTATTATTATTTCGCATTTAAAAGGAAATCTAAAAAAATTGAAAATAAAAGTTTGAAGAAACGAAAAATTGAAAAACGGAGAAACTTAAAAATCCAATCGAAAAATTGGAAAAATCAAAAATTATAAAATCGAAAAATGAAAAATGGAAAAACTAAAAGTCGAAAACTGGAAAATTCTAAAACTGTACTGTGGAAAAATTGAAAAATTTTAAAAGTAATTATTATTATTTTATATTTAATATGAAAACTAGAAAAGTTGCAAATAAAAAATTAATGTAATCGAAAAACGTAAAAAAAAATTAAAAAACCTGAAAGTAGAAAATTGATAAATTCTAAATCGAAAATATAAAAAATCCAAAAATTAAACAATTTCACATTGGAAAAAAAAAGAAGAATTATAAACGCAGAACATTGAAAAACCGAAAATTTGAACAAATTAAAAATAAAAAAAAGCATTTAAAATTCGAGAAATTGAAAAATTAAAATTGAAAAAACAAAAAATTATAAAACGGAAAAATCTAAAAAAATTGAAAATAAAAGTTTGAAGAAACGAAAAATTGAAAAACGGAGAAACTTAAAAATCGAAAAAATAAATAAATAAAAAATCTGAAAGTTGAAAATCGAAAAATTGAAAACCGAAAACATGAAAAGACCAAAAATTCAAAAATTCACAATTTTGTTAAGACCACAGTTTTTGGTTTTTTAATTTTATTTTCTCAAATTTTCGATTTTTTTAAATTTCAGTTCCTCGGGTTACAAATTTTTCAATTTTTCAATATTACAATTTTTCATTTTTTCGATTTTTCAATTTCTCAATTTTTCAACTTCTTGATTTTTATGTTTCATTTTTCCGCTTTTTAAATTAATTTCCATTATCTCGATTTTATATCACAATTTTTCATTTTCTTTATTTTGTCAGTGTTTCTTTGGGTTTTATAATTTTTTGTTTATTCAATTTTTCAAATTTTTTTGTCATCACAATTTTTCGTTTTTTCAGTTTTTATTGTCTTCAATTTTCGATTTTTCGGTTTCATAATTTTCCTTTTTTCAATTTTAATTTTTTAATTTTTCAGTTTCTCGGCTTCCAAATTTTTCAATGTTTCAGAATTACAATTTTTCAAGATCTTGATTTGTGTGTTTCATTTTCCCGGTTTTTAATTTCCATTTTCTCGATATTATATCACAATTTTTTGTTTTTCATTTCCTTCAGTTTCTCAATGTTTTTTCGGTTTTATAATTTTTCGTTTACTCAATTTTTCAATTTATTTAATATCACATTTTTTTGTTTTTTAATTTTTTTATGTTCTCAAATTTTCAATTTTTCACGTCTCGGTTTCATAATTTTTCTTTTTTCAACTTCATTTGTTTTAATCTTTCACTTTTCTCGGCTTCCAAATTTTTCAATTTTTCGTTTCCTCAATTTTTCAACTTCTTGATTTTTATGTTTCATTTTCCCGATTTTTTTCCATTTTCTCGATTTAAAATCATAATTTTGCGTTTATTTTCTCAGTGTTTCTTTTCGCTTTATAATTCTTCGTTTGTTCAATTTTTCAAATTTTCAATCTTCCATTTTTCCTCGATTTTACAATTTTTCATTTTTTTATATCGCAATTTTTCGTTTTTTCATGGTTATATTTTCTCGAATTGTCGATTTTTCAATGTCTCGGTTTTTCTTTTTTCAACTTTAGTTTTTGTAATTTTTCAATTTCTCGCTTTCCAAATTTTTCAATTTTTCAGTTCCTCAACTTTTCATTTTTCAATTTTTCGTTTCAAGTTCTTGGATTTTTATGTTTCATTTTCCCGCTTTTGATTTCCATTTTCTCGATTTTCACAATTTTTCGTTTATTCAATTTTTCAAATTTTCAATCTTTGATTTTTCAATCCCTCGATTTTCCAATTTTTCAATTTTTTCCATATCATAATTTTTCGTTTTTTCATTTTTTTTTTATTTTTTCAAATTTTCAATTTTTCAATGTTTCGGTTTTATAATTTTTCTTTTTTTAACTTTTTATTTTTTAAATTTTAGTTTCTCGGGTTCCAAATTTTTCAATTTAAAAAATTCAGGATTCTTCAAGTTCTTGCTTTGTATGTTTTGCCTTTTAATTTCCATTTTCTCGTTTAGTATCACAATTCCCCAGATTTTTTAATTTTTGAATTTTTCGATTATCCGATTTTCCGATTTCTTTAATTTCCAATATTTCGATTTTTCAATATTTTTAAGTTTCTCAATTTTTAATTTTTTGACTTTACAATTTTTCGTTTTTTCAATTTGTAAAGTTCCGGATTTCTAATTTTTAAAGTTTTCAAAGTTTTCGTTTTACTTTTTTATTTTTTCGTTTCTGATTTTTCAATTTACAATTTGGCAATTTTTCCATTTTTTGGTTCGAAATGTTGAAAAATCGAGAAACTGAAAAAACTAAAAATTGCATCATCGAAAGTGGAATATGGAAAAAATGCAAATCGAAAAACTCAAGAAACGAAAATTTGAAGCAGAAAAACTAAAAACGAGAAACCTAAAAATTCAATCGAAAAATTGGAAAACTCAAAAATTGCATATTCGAAAAATTACAGAATCGTCAAAATTGTAAAGTCGATAAACTGTAACATTGAAAATTCGAAAATTTGAAAAATTCCAAGATTGTACTGTTGAAAAAGTGAAAAATTTTAAAAGCAGTTATTATTATTTCATATTTTAAAGGAAATCTAGAAAAATTGAAAATTAATTAAAAATCAAAAAAATAAACAAAAAATTTGAAAGTTCAAAATCGAAAAAACCGGAAACATCAAAAGACCAAAAGTTGAAAAATTTCACATTGAAAAAATAAAGAAAATAAGAAACTGAAACGCAAAACTACAAATCGAAAATTTGAAGAAATGAAAAACTGAAGAAACGAAAAATTCAAAAATTCACATTTTTTTTGTCACAATTTTTCGTTTTTTAATTTTTTTATTTTCTGAAATTTTCGATTCTTCAGTGTTTCAGTTTCATAATTTTTCGTTTTTCAACTTTTTCATTTTTTAATTTTTCAGCTTCTCGGCTTCCAAATTTTCAATTCCCTGATTTTCCAATTCTTCAGTTTTTAAATCTTGCAATTTTTTAATTTCTCAATTATCCGAAGTTTCTCAGTTTTTAATCTTTTGATTTTTCCATTTTTCGTTTCTTCAATTTTGCAAGTTCTTAATTAATAATTTTTTATTTGCTCGATTTTTAATGTTCCAGTTTTTCGATTTAACAATTTTTGATATCATCAGTTTTCGGTTTTTAATTTTTTTAATTTCTCAAATTTTCGATTTTTCAAAATTTTTATTTTACATTTCTTTGATTTTTCAGTTACTCGACTTTTAATTTTTCAATTTTGCGTTTCCTCAATTTTTCATGTTCTTGATTTTTATTTTTCATTTTTTTAATTTTTTTAATTTTCATTTTCTCGATTTTATATGAGAATTTTTCGTTTTTTCGTTTATCCAATTTTTCAAATTTTCAATCTCAGATTTTCAATTCCTCTTCAATTCCAACTGAAAAATCGAAAGGCTAAAACTTTCGATTTTCAATTTTTCGTTTGATTTTGCAATTTAGTGTTGCAATTTTTCCATTTCTTTGGTTCGAAAAAGTGGAATATTGAAAAAACGTAAATCGATGAACTGAAGAAACGAAAATTTGAAATAGAAAAACTAAAAACGAGAAACCTAAAAATCCAGTCGAAAAATTGAAAAAATCAAAAATTGTAAAATCGAAAAATTAAAAATGGAAAAACTAAAAGTCGAAAACTGGAAAATTGTAAAACTGTACTGTTGAAAAGTAAAAATTTTAAAATTAATTATTATTATTTTATATTTAATATGAAAACTAGAAAAGTTGCAAATAAAAAATTGATGTAACCGAAAAACGTAAAAAAAATAAAAAATCTGAAAGTAGAAAATTGATAAATTCTAAATCGAAAATAAGAAAAATCCAAAAATTGAACAATTTCACATTGGAAAAAAAAGAATTATAAACGCAGAACATTGAAAAACCGAAAAATTGAAAAAATAAAGAAAATGAAAATTTGAACAAATTAAAAATAAAAAAACATTTAAAATTCGAGAAATTGAAAAATCTAAATTGAAAAAAAAATTATAAAATCAAAACATTAAAAAATGGAAACATTGAAAATTCGAGAAACTCAAATTAAAAAAATTCAAAAATTCAAAAGTTGGAAAACTGAAAAAGTGAAAAATTTAAACTTAAAAACAATTGTAAATCGAAAATCCAAAGTAACCAAAAAGAAATGAAAAATTGAAGTTAAAAAATCTGTGGGAGTGTAAATAACGCGATTTCAGGGGCGAGGGAAGTTCTGTGAAAATAACTTTCGACCGATTTTTTTTCTATTTTTTTTTTTTAATAAAATCAACTTTTTAAACGAATACAAACCAGTTTTGTCATTTTTGACCATTTTTGAGAAATTAAAAAAAAAACACAGTCAAGATAGCTTCAAATTCCACCTAAATCACCAAAAATCCGTCTTTGTAGTCCCGTAATTGCCGTCCTTGCCGCCATTTTCGTCCTTGCCTCGGCCTCTATTTTTACCCACCTGTCACAAAGCCTCGCAATCGTGTCTATAACTCGCATTCCATCTCTATTAATGTTGTCGTGCAATTTGCGTTATGAATTCAATTCCCATTATTAATGGCGCAAAGCACGAAGCAGCACAACAACCCCCCAAGAAATCAATCAATTCCTCCATCGATCCCGGCCCCTAATTGCGAGGCAACAGGTGAGCACCATCCCTGCGCCCAGATGTTGGGTGCCTGTAATCGTCCACCACCCCTCGTTAAACCATCCGCCGTTTAAGGGATTATCCCGGCATGATTTGTAGCCCGCGTCCCCCGGGACGGACAGGTGCCGTCATTAAACCCGCCGTATCGGGAACACTCCTCGAAAAAACTCGATTACAAGCCATCCAGCCCTTAATTCTCGTAATGACGCCCTTACACAATTGAATTCGACACGTGTTATCTGCGCCCCTCAAAAAACCGTGTAATCCTCCGTGGGGCGATTCTTGTTTGCTTACGTAATCGCGATATTTATCACGAGGAATTAAGGCTGGTGGTCGTTTGATTGATGGTCCACATGGTGCAGATTTCGGTGTTTGATCGATAGTGTGGGACAATTCCGGGGTAATTGGGTTCTAATAATATCCCGTTTTAGTACGAACAAGCGTACAAGCCGAGGGTGCTGCGCAACTGGGAAGTGCCGAAGGTCTACGATGACAAGCCGAAGAGGAGGGCAGGACGGACCGAGATAATTTCCAACGATAGGGGGCACTTGTTGCCGGGGGTTCCCAAATCGAAGGCCAGTCCATGGGGGAATTTCAAGGGGGCGTGGCATTTGCCAAAGAAAATAGACAGGAAAACAGGTACTACTAACTTACTACTTCCCGAGCGTAAACGATCCGACTCTACTTTTGCGTTTTCTCGACGTTTCATGATCCCTACAGTACGAAGAAATAGGTCTTCTGTCTGTCCCGTCTATCCTGTATTATTTTGGCAGCCCACGGATATTTTTTTTGCAAATTATTTAGAAGATTTTCGTGTTCTGTTTTTGGAAAATTCTGACCTGACCTGTTTTTGCGTTAATTTTGAAACCCCGTTTTTTTTTTGAAAATTTAAAACAATCTCGAACTTCTAGGTATTGTTTGGAAAGAATTTGAAAGTAGTTTGAAGCCTCTAGTCTTTTTTCTTATAATAATTTAATTAAGTTTATTAGAGGATACGTCATTTGCTAAATTCAGTCTTATCTTAGCAAATACTAGCCCCGCCCACCCACCCTCTCGTTTCTTAGAGGGTATGTCATTTGCCAAAATCAGCCTTATCTTAGCAGATACTAGCCCCGCCCACCCACCCTTTCTTTTCTTACAAGGTATCTCATTAGCCAAAATCAGTCTTTCCTTAGCAGGTATTAGCCATCACTCTCTCTTCTCTAAGAGGGTATGTCATTTGTCAAAATCGATCTTATTTTAGCAGCTACTAGCAGTTTTATCTTAGAGAATATCTCATTTGCCAAAATTAGTCTTATCTTAGCAGGTACTAGCCCCACCCGCCCGCCCTCTGTTTTCTTAGAGGATTTGTCATTTGCCAAAATCAGCCTTATCATACTAGGTACTCGCCCCAAATTTCTCGATTTTTCCAATTTTTCACTTCTCAATTATTCTAATTGTGGATTTCTCTATTTTCCGATATTTTAGTTTTACAATTTTTCAATTCTTCTATTTCTCGACTTAAAAATTTTATCAATCGATTTTTTGATTTTTTGATTTTTCGATTCCTCGATTTTTCGACTATTAATAAATGTTTCGATTTTTCGATATTTTGGTCTTCCCATTCCTCGATTGCTCAATTTTTCGGCTTTTCGACCTTGTGACTATTAGATTTTTCGATTTTTGATATTTTGATTTTCCCATTTCTCCGTTGCTCAATTTTCCGATGTTTCAGCCTATCGGTTTTTTCCCATTTTCATATTTTCGATTTTTCCTCGATTCTTCGATTTCTCGATTTTACAATTTTTCGATATCTGGGTTTTTCTTTCCCAATTTTTCGATTTATCGATTGATCAATTTTTGGAAATCGAATTTTGGGATTTTTCAATTATTATGATTTTTCAATTTTTTCGATTTCTCGTTTTTTGATTTTTCGGTTTTTTGGTTTCTTTAATTTTAGATTTCTCGATTTCTCGTATTTTGATTTTTCGGTTTTTCAATGTTTTAATTTTTTGGTTTTTAAATTTTTCAATTTTTCAGTTTTATCATTTTTCGATTTTTTGACTTATCCAGATTTCGATGTTTCGATTTCTCAATTTTCCGATGTTTCAGCCTATCGGCTTTTTTTCCATCTTCAAATTTTCGATTTTTCCTCGACTCTTCGATTTCTCGATTTTGCAATTTTTCGATATCTCGGTTTTTCTTTTTTAATTTTGGTATTTTTCAATTTTTCGATTGATCAATTTTTGGAAATCGAATTTTGGGATTTTTCGATTTTATGATTTTTCAATTTTTCGTTGTTAATTTCTTCGGTCTCTCGTTTTTTGATTTTTCGGTTTTTGATGTTACAATTTTAGATTTCTCGATTTCTCGTATTTTGATTTTTCGGTTTTTCAATGTTTGAATTTTTTGGTTTTTAAATTTTTGAAATTTTTCAGTTTTATCATTTTTCGATTTTTTGAATTATCCAGATTTCGATGTTTCGATTTCTCAATTTTCCGATGTTTCAGCCAATCGCCTTTTTTTCCATTTTCATATTTTCGATTTTTCCTCGACTCTTCGATTTCTCGATTTTGCAATTTTTCGATATCTCGGTTTTTCTTTTTTAATTTTGGGATTTTTCAATTTTTCGATTGATCAATTTTTGGAAATCGAATTTTGGGATTTTTCAATTATTATGATTTTTCAATTTTTCGTTGTTAATTTCTTCGATTTCTCGTTTTTTGATTTTTCGGTTTTTGATGTTTCAATTTTAGATTTCTCGATTTCTCGTATTTTGATTTTTCGGTTTTTCGATGTTTCAGTTTTTTGGTTTTTAAATTTTTCAATTTTTCAGTTTTATCATTTTTCGATTTTTTGAATTATCCAAATTTCGATGTTTCGATTTCTCAATTTTCCAATGTTTCAGCCTATCGGCTTTTTTTCCATTTTCATATTTTCGATTTTTCCTCGACTCTTCGATTTCTCGATTTTGCAGTTTTTCGATATCTCGGTTTTTCTATTTTAATTTTGGGATTTTTCCATTTTTCGATTGATCAATTTTTGGAAATCGAATTTTGGGATTTTTCAATTATTATGATTTTTCAATTTCTCGTTGTTAATTTCTTCGATTTTTCGTTTTTTGATTTTTCGGTTTTTGATGTTTCAATTTTAGATTTCTCGTATTTTGATTTTTCGGTTTTTCGATGTTTCAATTTTTTGGTTTTTAAATTTTTCAATTTTTTAGTTTTATCATTTTTCGATTTTTTTTATTATCCAGATTTCGATGTTTCGATTTCTCAATTTTCCGATGTTTCAGCTTATCGGCTTTTTTTCCATTTTCATATTTTCGATTTTTTCTCGACTCTTCGATTTCTCGATTTTGCAATTTTTCGATATCTCGGTTTTTCTTTTTCAATTTTGGGATTTTTCAATTTTTCGATTGATCAATCAAATTGGTAATCGAGTTTTGGGATTTTTCAAATATTATGATTTTTCAATTTTTCGTTGTTAATTTTTTCGATTTCTCGTTTTTTGATTTTTCGGTTTTTGATGTTTCAATTTTAGATTTCTCGATTTCTCGTATTTTGATTTTTCGGTTTTTCGATGTTTCAATTTTTTGGTTTTTAAATTTTTCAAGTTTTCAGTTTTATCATTCTTCGATTTTTTGAATTATCCAGATTTCGATGTTTCGATTTCTCAATTTTCCGATGTTTCAGCCTATCGGCTTTTTTTCCATTTTCATATTTTAGATTTTTCCTCGACTCTTCGATTTCTCGATTTTGCAATTTTTCGATATCTCGGTTTTTCTTTTTTAATTTTTAAATTTTTCAGTTTTATCAATTTTCGATTTTTTGAATTATCCAGATTTCGATGATTCAGCTTATCGGCTTTTTTTCCATTTTCATATTTTCGATTTTTCCTCGACTCTTCGATTGCTCGATTTTGCAATTTTTCGATATCTCGGTTTTTGTTTTTTAATTTTGGGATTTTTCAATTTTTCGATTTATCAATTTTTGGAAATCGAATTTTGGGACTTTTCAATTATTATGATTTTTCAATTTTTCGTTGTTAATTTCTTCGATTTCTCGTTTTTTGATTTTTCGGTTTTTGATGTTTCAATTTTAGATTTCTCGTATTTTGATTTTTCGGTTTTTCGATGTTTTAATTTTTTGGTTTTTAAATTTTTCAAGTTTTCAGTTTTATCATTTTTCGATTTTTTGAATTATCCAGATTTCGATGTTTCGATTTCTCAATTTTCCGATGTTTCAGCCTATCGGCTTTTTTTCCATTTTCATATTTTCGATTTTTCCTCGACTCTTCGATTTCTCGATTTTGCAATTTTTCGATATCTCGGTTTGTCTTTTTTAATTTTGGGATTTTTCAATTTTTCGATTGATCAATTTTTGGAAATCGAATTTTGTGATTTTTCAATTATTATGATTTTTCAATTTTTTCCTTGTTAATTTCTTCGATTTCGCGTCTTTTTGATTTTTCGGTTTTTGATGTTTCAATTTTTTGGTTTTTAAACTATTCAATTTTTCGTTTTTTGATTTTTTGGTTTCTTTAGTTTTCGATTTTTCGATTTCTCGTATTTTGATTTTTCGGTTTTTCGATTTTTAAGTTTTTTGATTTTTCAGTTTTATCATTTTTCGATTTTTGGAACTATCCCGGTTCTATGTTTCGATTTTTAGATTTCCCGATTTTTCAATTTTCCTTATCTCAGTTTTCCATATGCTAGTTTTGAGATTTTCATTTTCTATTCAATTTTTCTTCGATTTTAAAATTTTTCGACTTTTTAATATTCCAGTTTTTGGTGTTTCTAAATTTTCGATTTTTCCATCAATTGATTTTTCAACTTTTCCATTTCCGACTTTTCCAACTTCTCGACTTTTCTTCTCATTCCTCAATTGCTCCATTTCTCGGCTTTTCGATTTTTCGACCTTTTGACTATTAGATTTTTCGATTTTTGGATATTTTGATTTTCCCATTTCTTCATTGCTCAATTTTTCGATGTTTCAGCGTCTCGGCTTTTCAATTTCGCGATTTCTCAATTTTTCCATTTTCATATTTTCAATTCTTCATCGAATTTGCAATTTTTTGATATCTCGGTTTTTCTTTTTCAATTTATCGATTGATCAATTTTTGGAAATCGAATTTTTTGATTTTTCAATTATTATGATTTTTCAATTTTTCGTTGTTATGTTAATTTCTTCGTTTCTCGTTTTTTGATTTTTCGGTTTTTCGATGTTTCAATTTTAGATTTCTCAATTTCTCGTATTTTGATTTTTCGGTTTTTCGATGGTTCAATTTTTTGGTTTTTAAATTTTTAATTTTTCAGTTTTTACATTTTTCGATTTTTGAAATTATCCAGAGTTGAATGTTTCGATTTTTAGATTTCTCGATGTTTCAATTTTCCCTATGTCAGTTTTCGATGTCCCAGTTTTGAGGTTTTTCATTTTCTATTCTTCAATTTCTCTTCGATTTTAAAATTTTTCGATTTTTTTAATATTCCAGTTTTTGGTGTTTCTAAATTTTCGATTTTTCGATTTTGTGATTTTTCAACTTTTCCATTTCTGACTTTTCCGACTTCTCGATTTTTGACCTCCCCTTTACTCGATTGCCCAATTTTTCGGCTTTTCGATTTTTCGACTTTTCGATCTTTTGACTATTAGATTTTTCAATTTTTGGATATTTTGATTAATTGATTTTTCAACTTTTCCATTTCCGACTTTTCCAACTTCTCGACTTTTCTTCTCATTCCTCAATTGCTCCATTTTTCGGCTTTTCGATTTTTCGACCTTTTGACTATTAGATTTTTCGATTTTTGGATATTTTGATTTTCCCATTTCTTCATTGCTCAATTTTTCGATGTTTCAGCGTCTGGGCTTTTCAATTTCGCGATTTCTCAATTTTTCCATTTTCATATTTGCAATTCTTCATCGAATTTGCAATTTTTTGATATCTCGGTTTTTCTTTTTCAATTTATCGATTGATCAATTTTTGGAAATCGGATTTTGAGATTTTTAAATTGTTATGATTTTTCAATTTTTTGTAATGTTAATTTCTTCGATTTTTCGTATTTTGATTTTTCGGTTTTTCGAAGTTTCAATTTTTTGGTTTTTAAATTTTTCAATTTTTCGGTTTTATCATTTTTCGATTTTTTGAATTATCCAGATTTCGATTTTTCCTCGACTCTTCGATTTCTCGATTTTGCAATTTTTCGATATCTCGGTTTTTCTTTTTTAATTTTGGGATTTTTCAATTTTTCGATTGATCAATTTTTGGAAATCGAATTTTGGGATTTTTCAATTATTATGATTTTTCAATTTTTTCCTTGTTAATTTCTTCGATTTCGCGTCTTTTTGATTTTTCGGTTTTTGATGTTTCAATTTTTTGGTTTTTAAATTATTCAATTTTTCAGTTTTATCATTTTTCGATTTTTTGAATTATCCAGATTTCGATGTTTCGATTTTTAGATTTCTCGATTTTTAATTTTCCCTGTCTCAGTTTTCGATGTCCCAGTTTTGAGATTTTTCATTTCCTATTCTTCAATTTTTCTTCGATTTTACAATTTTTCGATTTTTTAATATTCCAGTTTTTGGTGTTTCTAAATTTTCGATTTTTCCATCAATTGATTTTCGATTTTGTGTTTTTTCAACTTTTCCATTTCTGTCTTTTCCAATTTTTCGACTTTTCTTTCCATTCCTCGATTTTACTATTAGATTTTTCGATTTTTGGATATTTTGATTTACTCATTTCTTCATTGCTCAATTTTTCGATGTTTCAGGGTCTCGGCTTTTCAATTTCGCGATTTCTCAATTTTTCCATTTTCATATTTGCAATTCTTCATCGAATTTGCAATTTTTTGATATCTCGGTTTTTCTTTTTCAATTTATCGATTGATCAATTTTTGGAAATCGGATTTTGAGATTTTTCAATTGTTATGATTTTTCAATTTTTTGTAATGTTAATTTCTTCGATTTTTCGTATTTTGATTTTTCGGTTTTTCGAAGTTTCAATTTTTTGGTTTTTAAATTTTTCAATTTTTCGGTTTTATCATTTTTCGATTTTTTGAATTATCCAGATTTCGATTTTTCCTCGACTCTTCGATTTCTCGATTTTGCAATTTTTCGATTGATCAATTTTTGGAAATCGAATTTTGGGATTTTTCAATTATTATGATTTTTCAATTTTTTCCTTGTTAATTTCTTCGATTTCGCGTCTTTTTGATTTTTCGGTTTTTGATGTTTCAATTTTTTGGTTTTTAAATTATTCAATTTTTCAGTTTTATCATTTTTCGATTTTTTGAATTATCCAGATTTCGATGTTTCGATTTTTAGATTTCTCGATTTTTTAATTTTCCCTGTCTCAGTTTTCGATGTCCCAGTTTTGAGATTTTTCATTTTCTATTCTTCAATTTTTCTTCGATTTTACAATTTTTCGATTTTTTAATATTCCACTTTTTGGTGTTTCTAAATTTTCGATTTTTCCATCGATTGATTTTTCGATTTTGTATTTTTTCAACTTTTCCATTTCCGAATTTTCCAACTTCTCGACTTTTCTTCCCATTCCTCAATTGCTCCATTTTTCGGCTGTTCGATTTTTCGACCTTTTGACTATTAGATTTTTCGATTTTTGGATATTTTGATTTTCCCATTTCTTCATTGCTCAATTTTTCGATGTTTCAGCGTCTGTGCTTTTCAATTTCGCGATTTCTCAATTTTTCCATTTTCATATTTGCAATTCTTCATCGAATTTGCAATTTTTTGATATCTCGGTTTTTCTTTTTCAATTTATCGATTGATCAATTTTTGGAAATCGGATTTTGAGATTTTTCAATTGTTATGATTTTTCAATTTTTTGTAATGTTAATTTCTTCGATTTCTCGTTTTTTGATTTTTCGGTTTTTGATATTTCTATTTTAGATTTCTCGATTTTTCGTATTTTGATTTTTCGGTTTTTCGATGTTTCAATTTTTTGATTTTTAAAGTTTTCAATTTTTCAGTTTTATCATTTTTCGATTTTTAGATTTCTCGATGTTTCAATTTTCCCTATCTCAGTTTTCGATATCCCACTTTTGAGATTTTTCATTTTCTATTCTTCAATTTTTCTTCGATTTAAAATTTTTTTTTTGAAAATTTAAAACAATCTCGAACTTTTAGGTATTTCTGTTTGGAAAGAATTTGAAAGTAGCTTGGAGCCTCTAGTCTTTTTTTGATAATAATTTAATTAAGTTTATTAGAGGTACTAGCCCCGCCCACCCACCCTCTCTTTTCTTAGAAGGTATCTGATTAGCCAAAATCAGTCTTATCAAAGCAGGTACTAGCCCCACCCACCCATCCACTCTCTTAGGGGGTAAATCAAATCTTTTAATTTTTCGAAAGAGCTGAATTTGACAAGCTGTACTTGATTAAAGTCAATGGTCAATTTTGCAGCGGACGAATTGAGTGGTCTTCCCAAAAAAATTTCGTGTGAAGAGAAACGCCGATTGAAAGAGGAACAAGAAAAGTCGGCCAAATTGGAAGAGATTAAAGAGGAGCCTGAACAAACTAAAGAGGAGGTGGCACCTCCTCCAGACCAAGCACCACCACAGGTCGAAAAAGCACCAAGCGAAAAAGCGGAAGCCGCTCCTGAGATAGAAGAGGTACTCACCCCTCATCCATTTACCCCGATTTTATTAATTTCTGTTCTAGGCACCCCTTTGCCCCATTCACGATTTTCCACTCTCCCCTGTAACCACCTAATAAACACTCTCTAACTTGTACGACTTTCTTTCATGTCTTGCGTTCAGAGGGAGATAAATAAGGAAAATACGTACCCCTATGTTCCCGGTGACCTTACCGAGCCCCGTCACAGGCTCCCCAGCCACGATGACTTAGCCCAAAGTCGCTACGGCTGCCAAAAACCCAAAACTAAAGGCTACCCCAAATACAGGGACGATTTTTCGAAACCCCTCCCCGAAATCGAGAAAACCATAACCAAAAATGACCTGGAGGAAGAGTACCGGAACCACAAAGCAATGGCGGAAGCAACGTACTCAAACGGCGTGAAACACCACCCTCGTAAAAACAAAACGTCCACACCCATCATCGAAGCCATTAAAAACTTCCAACTGGCCAAACGCCTGCACAGAGAAAACCTAGAGCACGACCCTCTACCAGATACCATCACCCATACCAAGTACCGCAAGCTGCAGATGCAAAGGTCGCAGCACGACCCAGGTTTATCTTTAGAGAACCAGAACTTCGCCACGGGTGTCGGGTGGAAAGGGTACCCAGGGTACGGTCCCACCAGATGCACCAAATTGAAAGTATACAGACCCAAAACGTGTGGTCATGGCGATAAGCACGAAGTGAAGAATGACGGTAGACCGAGTAGCGTGACCAGTTTTGACCGAAAGTGGCGGTTCCTCAGACGGCGCAAAGTCTCGCCCATTGAACTGGCGATTTGTTGGGACCTCACCCCCGAGAACCCCAACGACGAACCCAAGCGGACCCCCCATATCGACGGGTCCAACGGGTCTCTAGCGCCCGCGGTGTTCTCTTTGGTTCACACCCCCAAAGACGACGACGATGACGACTTTAGAAAATCGTCAGTGGGGACCGTGGATTCAGGAGCTGTTTTTGAGAAAGGTCCAACCAGGAACCCTTCCGATAAAGACTTTGTTCTCGACAGACCCAAAACGTCGCACCCTCAGGACCCCAAACGTAGGACGTCGCACAACAGCGTGCAGTCAGACGAGTCCTTGAGCAAAAAGCGCGCCAAAAGTGCCTACAATTTGAACAACAACGTGGAGGACCAGGACGCTAAAAGTTGCTCCCATTGCGAGGTCAAGAATGGAATTCATCAGAGTACGCCGAATTTGAGCGATTGCGGCGACAAAAGGATTAAAAATTCGAGGATGTGCATGGCCTGCGAGATGAAAAATGTTTCGCTTAAAGAGAGAAAGAATAAGAAAGATGAATACAAAATGGCTTTTAAAGCTGGTGTCCCTCAGAAATGTGTAAGTAGTACTAGCCGTTATAGAAATGCTAGATACAACTTTCATGTACCTAAACAAAAAGATCCTTATAGTCCTAAGAATTATGCTATATGTAGTTTAGCGCCACCTTTTTCTTTGCAGAAGGATAAAAGACAGGACTATCCGGAACACTGGCGGCTAGCTACGGTTTATCAGCACTCGTACAAACCGATTCACACGAGAAAACGTCCGTTGCTGGCCACAGTTTTTAAATGAAAGAGAACGAAAGGGTTACGTAGACATACCGCGTTTATTCGCGTAAGGTGACGTTTCCGCGGAAATTATACAGGTCATGCTTTCACGAGTCTACGCACAAACGTCAACTTATTCAAATAAACGAGGTGTAGGTTCGGTTTGTTGGTAGGTACGCCACTGATCTAAAATTTTTATTGCTATCTTACGATCTCTATTTTTTATTGTGAAAAAAAATTACAAATAATATATTTAAGAAGTCCGATATTTGGGTTCCGTCTAAGTGAAACTATTTAAAACTTTTTTATCGGCTAAACTCCCTACTTTTACGTTTTCTTGACGTTTCATGACGCCTACAGGATCAAGAAATAGGTCTTCCGTTTCCGTCTGTCTGCCGTCCCGATTTTTATTATACAGATATGATGCTTGTGATTTATCACTACATTAATATTTTTTAGATTTGCTTATACAGGGTGTCTCAAAAAAATTAATAACTGAATCAATTTATTTTATTGATTAAGTCAAGAATTGCAAAACTTGAACTTGAAACTTTGAACACGTTTTGAAATTATTGTAGGCATGATAACTTTTCAGTCAAAATGTACAACTTGCCACCAATTTTTTAATTTATCGATTGATCAATTCTTGGGTTTTGGGATTTATGAATTTTTCGATTATTACATTTCTCGATTTAAAAAGTTTCCGATTGTTTAATATTCCAACGTTTGGTTTTTCTAAATTTTCTATCAATCGATTTTTCGATTTTTTGATTTTTCGACTTTTCGACTACTCTCGATTGCTCAATTGTTCCTTGTTTCGGTGTCTCGACTTCTCAGTTTTTCGATTTTCATATTTTCGATTGTTTCTCGACTTTTTGATTTCTCGATTTTTTAATTTTCCCCCATCTCAGTTTTTCGATGTTCCAGTTTTGAAATTTTTTAATCTTCAATTTTTCGATATTTTTATATTCCAGTTTTTAGTGTTTCTAAATTTTCGATTTTTCGATCAATTGATTTTTCGATTTTGTTATTTTTCAACTTTTCCATTTCTGACTTTTCGATATTTTGATCTCCCCGTCAATTTTTCGACTTTTCGATCTTTTGACCATTAGATTTTTCAATTTTTGGATATTTTGATTTTCCCATTTCTCGATTGCCCAATTTTTCGATGTTTCAGCCGATCGACTTTTTTTCCATTTTCATATTTTCGATTTTTCCTCAACTCTTCGATTTTTCGATTTTGGATTTTTTCGATATCTCCTTTTTTTCAATTTTGGGATTTTTCAGTTTTTTGTTATGTTAATTTTTTGGATTTCTCCTCGTTTTTTTTATTTTTCGCTTTTTGATGTTTCATTTTTTTGGTTTCTTTAATTTTAGATTTCTCAATTTCTCGTATTTTCATTTTTCGGTTTTTCGATGTTTCAATTTTTTGGTTTTTAAATTTTTCAATTTTTCGATTTTATCCAGAGTTCGATGTTTCGATTTTTAGATTTCTCGATTTTTCAATTTTTCGACTTAAAAACTAAGGAACGGAAAAACTAAAAATCGAAAAGTAAAAAAAACTGAAAATTCGAACATTGAAAAATCAAAAGTCTAAGAACTGAAGAATGAATTGAAAAATCGAGAATGTGAAAATTCGAAGAATTGAAAAACTGAAAGTGGAAAAATCGAAAAGGAAATATATTGAAAATTAAAATTTTGGGATTTTTCAATTATCATTTTTCAATTTTTTGTTATGTTAATGTCTTCGGTTTGTCGTTTTTTTGATTTTTCGGTTTTTGATGTTTCAATTTTTTGGTTTCTTTAATTTTAGATTTTTCGATTTCTCGTATTTTGATTTTTCGATGTTTCAATTTTTTGGTTTTTAAATTATACAATTTTTCAGTTTATCATTTTTCGATTTTTTGAATTATCCAGATTTCGATTTTTCAATTTTTCCTATCTCAGTTTTAGATCTCCCAGTTTTGAGATTTTTCGTTTTCTATTCTTCAATTTTACAATTTTTCGATTTTTTAATATTCCGGTTTTTGGTGTTTCTAAATTTTCGATTTTTCCATCAATTGATTTTTCGATTTTGTGATTTTTCAACTTTTCCATTTCTGACTTTTCCGACTTTTCGACTTCTCGAATTGCTCAATTTTTCGACTTTTCGATTTTTCGACTTCTCGACCTTTTAACTATTAGATTTTTCGATTTTTGGATATTTTGATTTTCTCATTTCTCCATTGCTCAATTTTTCGATGTTTCAGCGTATCAGCTTTTTTCCATTTTCATATTTTTTTCGATATCTCGTTTTTCTTTTTCAATTTTGAGATTTTTCAATTTTTCGATTGATCAATTTTTGGAAATCGAATGTTCGGATTTTTCAATTATTATGATTTTTCAATTTTTTGTTGTTAATTTCTTTGATTTCCCGTATTTTGATTTATCAGTTTTTCGATGTTTCACTTTTTTTGATTTTTAAATTTTTTAGTTTTATCATTTTTCGATTTTTGGAATTATCCAGAGTTCGATGTTTCGATTTTTAGATTTCTCGATTTTTCAATTTTCCCTATCTCGGTATTCGATGTCCGTTTTGAGATTTTTCATTTTCTATTCTTCAATTTTTCTTCGATTTTAAAATTTTTCGATTTTTTAATATTCCAGTTTTCGGTGTTTCTAAATTTTCGATTTTTCGATCGATTGATTTTTCGATTTTGTGATTTTTCAACTTTTCCATTTCTGACTTTTCCGACTTCTCGACTTTTCTTCCCATTCCTCGATTGCTCAATTTTTCGGCTTTTCGATTTTTCGACTTCCCGACCTTTTGACTAAAAGATTTTTCGATTTTTGGAAATTTTGATTTTCCCATTTCTCCATTGCTCAATTTTTCGATGTTTCAGCGTCTCGGCTTTTCCATTTAGCGATTTCTCAATTTTTCCATTTTCATATTTTCGATTTTTCTTTTTCAATTTTGGGATTTTTCAATTTTTCGATTTATCGATTGATCAATTTTGGGAAGCGAATTTTGGAAATTTTCAATTATGATTTTTCAATTTTTTGTTGTTAATTTCTTCGATTTCTCGTTTTTTGATTTTTCGGTTTTTGATGTTTCAATTTTTTGGTTTCTTTAATTTTAGATTTCTCGATTTCAGGTATTTTGAATTTTCGGTTTTTCGATGTTTCAGTTTTTTGGCTTTTCAATTTTTCAATTTTATCATTTTTCGATTTTTGAAATTATCCAGATTTCGATGTTTCGACTTTTAGATATATCGATTTTTCAATTTTTCGACTTAAAAACTAAAGAACGGAAAAACCGAAAATCGAAAAGTAAAAAAAACTGAAAATTCGAACATCGAAAAATCGAAAAGCAAAGGAATTGAAAAGTCTAAGGAAACATATTGAAAATTTAAATATTGAAAAATCGAAAATTCAACGAATCAGTCAGGTTAGGTCAAAATAAAAAAAAATCGAATATCGAAAGACCGAAAATTTGATAAATGGAAAAATCGAAAATTCGAAAATTTGCAATATCAAAAGATCGAGAAATCGAAAGATCTGAAATTAAAAAAAAAATTAATGGAATTGAAAAATCGAGAATTTGAAAAATCGAAACATCAAAAAATCGAAAAGTCGAAAATTCGAGGAACCGATAAATTGAAAAATCTAAGATTAACATATCAAAAAACTGAAAAATACAGAAACGAAAAAATTCCCAAAAAAGAAGTGCCGAAAAGTTGAGAAATCGAAGACGCGAAAAATCGAAAAATTTTGACATTGAAAAACCGAGAAGTCGACAAATGGAAAATTCGACAAATCTAAAAATGGAAATTTAAAAAGATTAAAAAATGGTGAAATGGAAAAATTGAAAAATCGATAAATTCGAAATTTAAAAAAACGAAAAATCGAGAAGTCGAAAGATCTGAAATTAAAAAAAAAAATTAATGGAATTGAAAAATCGAGTAATTGAAAAATTGACACATCAAAAAATTGGAAAATCGAAAAGTCGAAAATTTGGAAATTTAAAAAAATTAAAAAATCGTAAAATGGAAAAATTGAAAAATCGATAAATGGGAAATTAAAAAAACGAAAAATCGAAAAGTCGAATAATCTGAAATTTAAAAAAAAATGAATGGTATTGAAAAATCGAGAAATTGGAAAAAATTGAAACATCAAAAAATTGGAAATCGAAAAGCCGAAAATTCGAAGAACCGATAAACTGAAAAATCTAAAATTAAATTTCCAAAAATCGAAAAATACAGAAACGAAAAAATTCCCAAAATAGAAGTGCCGAAAATTTCAGAAATCGAAGACTTAAAAAATCGAAAAATTTTAACATTGAATAACTGAGACGTCGAGAAATGGAAAATTCGAAAAATGGAAATTAAAAAAAATTAAAAAATCGTAAAATGGAAAAATTGAAAAATCGATAAATGGAAATTTAAAAAAACGAAAGATCGAGAAATTGAAACATCAAAAAATTGGAAAATCGAAAAGTCGAAAAATCGGAAAGTCTAAAAGTCGAAAAACCAAGAAAATTCGAAACATCAAACAAGCGAAAACCGCATTCGACAAAAGTTTTCAATTTTCGATATTTGAATTTTCAGTGTTTCTGCTTTTCGATTTTTCAGAATTTTTTCTTTATAGAGGTAAAAAACAAAAATCTCAAAATCAAATTCCATCATTTTTCAACGGAACGGTATTTACTAGACTTTACTTCAAGGACGAGGGAAGTTCTATCAAAACAACATTCGACCAATTTTTCAAAAATGTAAAACCTTCTCAGGAGCCCCAAGGTTTTTTTTACAATGTGCAACCTTCTCGGGGGTCCCAAGTGTGTTTTTTTTTAATATTAAATCTTCTCGAGGCCCCCTTTTTTAAAAAGGTGAAACCTTATTTTTTTCTATCACACTGTGACCAGTACCTTCGACATTGTTGAGGTTATCACGAACAAGTAAAATTCCGCAAAATCAATTTTTATAATCATTTTTGAGAGAAACGAAAATTCGTCGAAATAACTTTGGCCGAATTTTTTATTTTTTTATTTGTATATAGATCAGCGGCGCACCTACGTTGTGCTATTTTCCACGAAATAGATTTGGCAAGTATCTAGCAAGTACAAACAGTTATTACAAATGTTTCAACAACAAAAAATAACGACTCAAGGCTTATAACTCATTTTAATCACGTATTTTGAAATTGGCGCGCTTTACTCTAGGTAAATCCCCGAAACATGTTTTCTTCAATCGGCTAAAAATTGTTATAGTTGTTTCGTTGATGTTATTACTTTTTTCGTTATTTTTGTTGATTATTCCAAGATTGTTTAACAAAACGTAACAAAAACACATACACTGCCAACCGCATAGTATTTATGTACACTGATAATAAAACATTGAGAAATGTTTTTTTGTTGCGTGGGTGATTTTCAAGTGCAATTTAAAAGTTTATTATAAAAATATAAGTACAAAATCAGCTTGTTTCCTCAGTAATTTCTTTAACCTTTTTCCTTTTACTTTTTTTTACTCGTTTCAGATACTTTTCTTCCTCTTCATCTGGATCCAACCCTTCCAAAATCCACTTTTTCCTTTTATTTATCATTTTCTTTTCATAGAAGTCTTGTTCGTCTAATTTTATGTAAGCCTCCCCTTTGGTGACCGAAACTTGCGTGAAAATTTTACCAACTTCGCTGTCTAAAATCACTATATTAGTAAAAAACCCTAGACGACGTGACGTCATGCTCACCGTCTAGTTTAAACTCGGTGAGTTTGGTATTGATGTGTGCTTCTATCGCTTGTAATAGTTTAACGTCATACGGAGTCACTAAAGTTATGGCTTTCCCCTTGCGTCCAGCGCGCGCGGTTCTGCCAACCCTATGAATATACTCTTTAGGGACTTTAGGCACGTTATGATTAATCACGAGCTGAACGGTGGGGATATCAAGCCCTCGACTAGCGACATCTGTCGCCAAAAGAATTTTCACCGTATTTGACTTAAACCTGGCCAATCCTGCTAACCTCTGTTGCTGTTTTATCATCGCATGAAGCGCCACATTTTCAAACCCCACTTCATTTAAAGTCATTGATAAAATCTGACAATTCCTACAAAACGATTTTAACACCACAAACTAAAAAAATTAAAATCGTCTTACTTGCACGTGTCTGTAAAAACCAAAATATTCCCGTCTGCGTTATTAGTGCGATAATTCCGAATCGTCTCCACTAAATACGCATCCTTTACGTCCTTTGGACATAAGACATAATTTTGCTCCAATTCCTCCACAGTGGCGACCTCTGCCGGCGCTTCATAAAAAAACACGTCCTTCCCTGTTACACTCTTCAATTTCTCAAGAGTATCTGTAATCGTCGCCGAAAAAAAAAGATTCTGTCTTTGCTTAGGCAGCGCTTGAAAAATCGTTTTAATTTGCTCGTCGAAGTGCCCCCCTAACAACCTATCGGCTTCATCCACCACCAAAAACCTCAACTTGTGAAAATTAAAAGTGTTGCAACTCTCTAAATGGTCCGAAAGGCGACCAGGGGTGGCAACAACCACATGGGGGCGCTTCGCCAATTCCTGACCCTGGGTCACCATATCCATGCCACCCACTATCACACAGTGACGCAGATTCATCACTTTACCGATTACCGCGAACTGGTCGGCGATTTGGTACGCCAGTTCGCGGGTGGGGGTCAAAATCAGCGCGAAGATACCGTATGGGTCTTCACATAGCTTCTGGATTATGGGCAACGCGAAGGCTAGGGTTTTGCCGCTCCCGGTTTTGGCGGCGCCGATGCAATCGCGCCCTTTGAGAATCGGGGGGATGCAGTTGGCTTGAATGGGGGTCGGGGTTTTAACACCTGGAAAGTGAGGTTAGGGGTGGCTTTGCTGTGTTTGTACGAACCTATTGAGGCACACTGGCGGATTATCCATGGATTGAGGGCTAAATTGGCGAACGCTTTGTCTGTCATCACTGATTACACTTGTTCTACACTTATTATTATTATAATAGTGACAAAAAAATAAACGCACGTGTGCTTTGACAAATGACAGTTGGCTTTAATACGTCACAAAGCAATCATAACCTCACCTAACCTCAAAAAATCGCGTGTAGTGTTTTTTCGCAATGACGACTCTTGAGGACGTTTTAGACGAAGACGAGCTATATTGTGACGCCGAGGAGGACCCAGATGTCACCAATTTGACTCTCGAAGACGACTTTAGTAACGATAGTGACTCAGAAATTTTTTATGATGAAGATGAAATTTCGACGAATCGCAGAAACCCCCAGACCGCATCCAACAAAGTGAGCAACTACCAACCCCCAGACAACCTTTTCAAAAAGTACACCAACAAAATCAACGTCGAGAAGTACGAAGTGCACACTTTGCCCAGTCACGCCACCAACTTCCTCACAGCTAACGAAAAACGCCAAGAAAATGAGAAAATCAGACGTAAGGATAAGCACGATCGCGCGACCGCTGAACAAGTCATGGACCCCCGGACCAGGATGATTTTATTCAAATTGTTAAACCGGAACTTAATCTCGGAAATCAATGGGTGTATTTCAACTGGAAAAGAAGCCAATGTTTACCACGCGTCCAGCGACAAGGGGCAGATCGCGATTAAAATCTACAAAACGTCGATTTTGGTTTTCAAAGACCGCGACAAGTATGTAAGTGGCGAGTTCAGGTTCAGACACGGTTATTGTCGTCATAATCCACGAAAAATGGTGCGCACGTGGGCTGAAAAAGAAATGAGGAATTTAATCCGGATGCACTCGAACGGGTTGAACGTCCCGGAACCCATTTTGTTGCGCTCGCACGTTTTATTGATGGGTTTTTTGGGTAAGGACGGGTGGCCTGCTCCCAAATTAAAAGACGTGGAGTTGGGGCACTCCAAAGCGCGCGAGATTTACAGAGAGGTTGTCATTGTCATGTGGAAAATGTACAACAAGTGTAAATTGGTACACGCGGATTTGTCGGAGTTTAACATGTTGTATTTGAGCGGGGAGATTTATATTATTGACGTGTCTCAGTCGGTGGAGCACGACCACCCCCACGCCTTGGAGTTCCTGAGGAAGGATTGCACGAATATCAGCGACTTTTTCAAGAAGAAGGAGGTGGCGACTATGGGGATTAAAGACCTGTTTGACTTTATTACGGATCCGGCGATCAACGAGGGGAATATGGAACAGTGTTTGGACGCTTTGGCTGAAAAGGCGGCGCAACGCACGGAAATCACGTCCCAAGAACAAGTATTATTTAGATTAATTTTTCTACAAAATTGTTATTTTTGTGTTGTTATTTCAGGTTGAAGAAGAAGTCTTCAAGCAAGCGTATATTCCAAAGCGCTTGACTGAAGTTGTCGATTTCGAGCGCGACATAACTCAGGCGAAATCCGGCCTTACGAACGACTTAGTCTACAAGACGCTGGTTGGTTTAAAAGGCGACTTAAGCGGAACGGTGCAGCGGCCGGAAATTTTGGACGAAACGGAGTCTGAAGACTCAGATGACAGCGACGACGACAAAAAAAGCAAGTTTATTGACGCCTCACGGCCAAGACACGAAACTCCCGACGAAAAGAAACAGCGCAAAAAAGCGGTCAAGGAAGCACAAGCCGATAAGCGAAAAACGAAAATCAAAAAACATGTAAAAAAAAGAAAGGAGAAAGTCACCAAAAAATAAATTTTTACGGCATTAGTTTCGTATATTCTACAAAAAATGAGCTTTTTTTCACGTTTTCCCACGCTTTGGAGCAATACACAAGCCAAATTTTTCAATTTTCAACTTTTCTCCTCGATTCTCGATCCTCTGATTTTTCGATTTCTCGATGTCTCAGTTTTTGAATTTCTCGAAGTTTCGATTTTTGGATTTCTCGGTTTTTCGATTTTTTAATTTTGGGATTTTCAATTTTTCAATTTTCCAATTTTTAGATTAAATTCTGGAGTTTCGATTTCTCGATTTCGATTTTCGAATTTTTAATTTTTGATTTTTTGAAGTTGGATTTTGCGATATTTTAATTATTCAGTGTTTTAAATTTTAGATTTTTCGATTTCTCAGTTGTTTTTCAGTTCTTCAGTATTTCTCTTTTTCGATTTTTCAAATTTTGACGTTGCTAAATTTTCAGTTTTCTCAATTAAACTGTCTTTGATTTTCCCATTTCTCGACTTCTCCAAGTTTCGATTTTTTAGTTCTTCAATTCTTCGATTTTTCGACTTGTTTTTTTGGTTTTTCGATTTCTCAATTTTTTAATCTTTTAATTTCTCAATGTTTCCATTTTTCTTTCACTTTTGGGAATTTTTGATATTTCGTTTCTTCGAGTTTTCTGGATTTTTCCATTTTTTATTTTTTAGATTTTCAGTTTTGTCTTTTTTAAACTGTAGATCTTTCAATTTTTCGACTGATTTATAAGTATGTATTTCGATGTATTAATTTTTCAATTTTTAAACTTCTAGATTTTTCTATTTTTCGAGTTTCTAATTCTTCTGTTTTAATTTTTCAATTTTTCGAATTATTAAATTTTCGATTTTTCAATTTTTTGAGATTTGGATGTTTCGATATTTTGTTCAATCTCTCGATTTATCAATTTTTCCACTTTGTCAGTTTTTGAATTTTTCGATGTTTCGGTTTTTCGACTTTTTGCTTTTGGGCTTTTCGATTCTTCGATGTTTCAATTTTTGAATTATCCGATTTTTCAATTTTCCAATATTTAATTATATGCATTTTTTAATTTGTCGAATTTTGACGTTTCAGAATTTTCAGTTTTTTTATTTTCCCATTTCTTGTTCCCAAAGTTTCGATCTTTCAGTTCTTCAGTTCTTCAATTCTTTAAATTTTCAATTTTTCCGGTTTTTGATTTTTCGGTTTTTCGATTTTCCAAGTTTGCGATTTTTCGAATTTTTTGACTTCTTGATTTCTCAATTATTTAATCTCCCAGTTTCTGGATGTTTCGTTAATTTTGTTCCTATTTTTCAACAATTTTTCGAAATTTGAGTATTGGGATTTTTTAATATTTCGACTTTTCGAGTTCTGGAATTTTCGATTTCTCGACTTTTTGCTTTTTGGATTTTCAATTTTTCATTTTTTAAACTTAAGATTTTTCAATTTTTCGACTGTTTTATACTACGATTCCTCAAAAATTGAAAGTATTCGATATTTTAACTTTTCAGTTTTTAAAATTTTAGGTTTTTTTCGATTTCTCGAGATTTCAGTGCTTCTATATTTCAATTTTTCAATTTCGAATTTTTTAAGTTTTGGAATTTCTAATTTTTATTTTTTGATTTTTTGATGTTTAGATTTCTACATTTTTTAATTTTGCGATATTTTAATTTTTCAATGTTTTAAATGTTAGATTTTCCGATTTTTCAGTTCTTCAAAATTTTTTAATTTTTGAAATTTTGACGTTTCTAAATTTTCAGTTTTTCGATTTCTCAATTAATCTATTTTTTGGTTTTCCCATTTCTCGACTTCCCGAAGTTTCAGTTCTTCAATTTTTCGACTTTTCAGGTTTTTGGTTTCTCGATTTTCAATTTTTTAATTTCCCAATTTTTGGATATTTCGTTAAATTTTGTGATCTTTCAGTTTCTCGATTCCTCAATTTTTCTATTTTTTCAATTTTTCGACATTTGAGTTTTAGGATTTTTTAGTATTTCGACTTTTCGAGTTCTGAATTTTTAGACTTCTCGACCTTTTACTTTTTGGATTTTCAATTTTTCGTTTTTTAAACTTTACATTTTTCAATTTTTCGACTGTTTTATATTTCGATTTCTCAATTTTTCAACTTTTCGATATTTTAATTTTTCAAATATTAAAGTTTTAAATTTTTCAATTTCTCGAGATTTCAGTTCTTTTGTATTTTAATTTTTCAATTTTCCGAATTTTTAACTTTTCGATTTTTCGATTTGTCGGTTTTTCGACTTTACTTTTTTGGCTTTTCGATTTTTCGATGTTTCGCTTTTTGAATTATCCGATTTTTCAATTTTCTATTTTTTTTTTAATTTTCGAGTTTCGATTTTCCGATTTGTTGATTTTTCAGATTTTCGATTTTTTAATTTCAGATTTTCGAATTTTAATTTTTTAATTTTTGATGTTTAGATTTCTCCATTTTTTATTTTTTCAATTCGATATTTGAGCTTTTTAGTATTTCAACTTTTCGATTTTTTACTTTTTACTTTTTCGATTTTCAATTTTCGTTTTTAAACTTTAGATTTTTCAGTTTTCCATCTGTTTCATACTTCGATTTCTCAATTTTTTAACTGTTTGATATTTTAACTCATCAGTTTTTAAAATTTTAGGTTTTTCGATTTCTCGAACTTTCAGTGCTTTTATATTTCAATTTTTCAATTTTCGGAATTTTTAAATTTTAGATTTTCCAATTTGTCGATGTTTCGATTTTTCAGTTACCCGATTTTAAAATTTTTCCATTTTTTAATTTCGCGAGTTTCGATTCCTCGATTTGTCGATTTTCAGTTTTTCGATTTTTAAATTTTAGATTTTCGAATTTATATTTCTTGATTTTTATACTTCCCCATTTTTCGATTTTACGATATCTAATTTTTCAATGTTTTAAAATTTTCGAATTTTCGGTTTTTCAGTTCTTCAATATGTAATAATTAATTATATTTTTCAATTTTTAAAATTTTGACGTTCCGAATGTTCAGTTTTCCGATTGATTTTCCCATTTCCCGACTTCCCAAAGTTTCAATCTTTCAGTTCTTCAATTCTTTTTCAATTTCTCAGGTTTTTTATTATTCGGTTTTTCGATTTTCTAAGTTTGCGATTTTTCAACTTTGCTTTTTTGACTTCTCGATTTCTCAATTTTTTAATTTCCTAATTTTTGAATATTTCCTTCAATTTTATTCCTATTTTTCAATTTTTCGAAATTTGAGTATTGGGATTTTTTTAGTACCTATTTCGACTTTTCGAGTTCTGGATTTTTCGATTTCTTGACTTTTTACTTGCTTAATTTTCAATTTTTCATTTTTTAAACTTTAGATTTTTCAATTTTTCGACTGTTTTGTTGTTTAAAATTTTAGATTTTTTTCGATGTCTCGAGTTTCCAGTGCTTAAGTTTTGGCTTTTCTAATTTTTATTTTTTGATTTTTTGATGTTTAGATTTCTACATTTTTCAATTTTACGATATTTTAATTTTTCAAGGTTTAAATGTTAGATTTTCCGACTTTTCAGTTCTTCAAAATTTTTTAGTTTTTCAAATTTTGACGTTTTAAATTTTCAGTTTTTCGATGTCTCAATAATTAATCTATTTTTTGGTTCTCCCATTTCTCGACTTCCCAAAGTTTCGATCTATCAGTTCTTCAATTTTTCGACTTTTCAGGTTTTTGGTTTCTCGATTTTCAATTTTTTAATTTCCCAATTTTTGGATATTTCGTTAAATTTTGTGATCTTTCAGTTTCTCGATTCCTCAATTTTTCTCCTATTTTTTCAATTTTTCGACATTTGAGTTTTGGGATTTTTTAGTATTTCGACTTTTCGAGTTCTGAATTTTTAGACTTCTCGACCTTTCACTTTTTGGATTTTCAATTTTTCGTTTTTTAAACTTTACATTTTTCAATTTTTCGACTGTTTTATATTTCGATTTCTCAATTTTTTAACTTTTCGATATTTTAATTTTTCAATTATTAAAATTTTAGATTTTTCAATTTCTCGAGTTTTCAGTTCTTTTGTATTTTAATTTTTCAATTTTCCGAATTTTTAACTTTTCGATTTTTCGATTTGTCGGTTTTTCGACTTTACTTTTTGGCTTTTCGATTTTTCGATGTTTCGCTTTTTGAATTATCCGATTTTTCAATTTTCTAATTTTTTTTAATTTTCGAGTTTCAATTTTCCGATTTGTTGATTTTTCAGATTTTCGAATTTTAATTTTTTAATTTTTGATGTTTAGATTTCTCCATTTTTTATTTTTTCAATTCTATATTTGAGTTTTTTAGTATTTCGACTTTTCGATTTTTTACTGTTTACTTTTTCGATTTTCAATTTTCGTTTTTTAAACTTTAGATTTTTCAGTTTTCCGTCTGTTTCATACTTCGATTTCTCAATTTTTTAACTGTTTGATATTTTAACTCATCAGTTTTTAAAATTTTAGGTTTTTCGATTTCTCGAACTTTCAGTGCTTTTATATTTCAATTTTTCAATTTTCGGAATATTTAAATTTTAGATTTTCCAATTTGTCGATGTTTCGATTTTTCAGTTACCCGATTTTTAAATTTTTCAATTTTTTAATTTCGCGAGTTTCGATTTCTCGACTTGTCGATTTTCAGTTTTTCGATTTTTAAATTTTAGATTTTCGAATTTATATTTTTTGATTTTTATATTTCCCCATTTGTCGATTTTACGATATTTAATTTTTCAATGTTTTAAATTTTCGAATTTTCGGTTTTTCAGTTCTTCAATATGTAATAATTAATTATATTTTTCAATTTTTAAAATTTTTGACGTTCTGAATTTTCAGTTTTCCGATTGATTTTCCCATTTCCCGACTTCCCAAAGTTTCAATCTTTCAGTTCTTCAATTCTTTTTCAATTTCTCAGGTTTTTTATTATTCGGTTTTTCGAGTTTCTAAGTTTGCGATTTTTCAACTTTGCTTTTTTGACTTCTCGATTTCTCAATTTTTTAATTTCTCAATTTTTGAATATTTCCTTCAATTTTATTCCTATTTTTCAATTTTTCGAAATTTGAGTATTGGTTTTTTTTAGTACCCATTTCGACTTTTCGAGTTCTGGATTTTTCGATTTCTTGACTTTTTACTTGTTGGATTTTCAATTTTTCATTTTTTAAACTTTAGATTTTTCAATTTTTCGACTGTTTTGTTGTTTAAAATTTTAGATTTTTTTCGATGTCTCGAGTTTTCAGTGCTTAAGTTTTGGCTTTTGTAATTTTTATTTTTTGATTTTTTGATGTTTAGATTTCTACATTTTTCAATTTTACGATATTTTAATTTTTCAAGGTTTTAAATGTTAGATTTTCCGATTTTTCAGTTCTTCAAAATTTTTTAGTTTTTCAAATTTTGACGTTCTAAATTTTCAGTTTTTCGATGTCTCAATAATTAATCTATTTTTTGGTTCTCCCATTTCTCGACTTCCCAAAGTTTCGATCTGTCAGTTCTTCAATTTTTCGATTTTTCAGGTTCTTGATTTTTCAATTTTTCAATTCTATAAGTTTCGATTTTTCGACTTTGCTTTTTTGAATTTTTGACTTCTCAATTTTCACTTTTCTAATTTCCCGATTTTTGGATATTTCGTAAAATTTTGTGATTTTTCAGTTTCTGGATTCTTCAATTTTTCTATTTTTCAATTTTTCGACATTTGAATTTTGGGATTTTTAGTATTTCGACTTTTTGAGTTCTGAATTTTTAGATTTCTCGACCTTTTACTTTTTGGATTTTCAATTTTTCGTTTTTTAAACTTTAGATTTTACAATTTTTTGAGTGTTTTATATTTCGATTTCTCAATTTTTCAACTATTTGGATATTTCTTTAAGTTTTGTGATTTTTCAATATTTCGATTTTTCGACTTTTCCATTTTTGGACTCCTGAACTTTTTGATTTCTCGATTTTTGCCTGGATTTTCAATTTTTCGACTGCTTTATAGTTCGATTTTTCAATTTTTCAACTTTTCGATTGTTTTAAATTTTCGATTTACCAATTTTTTCTTCTTTAAAATTTTTCAATTTTTAACTTTTCTCCTCGATTCTCGATCCTCTGATTTTTCGATTTCTCGATGTCTCAGTTTTTGAATTTCTCGAAGTTTCGATTTTTGGATTTCTCGGTTTTTCGATTTTTTAATTTTGGGATTTTCAATTTTTCAATTTTCCCATTTTTAGATTAAATTCTGGAGTTTCGATTTCTCGATTTAGATTTTCGAATTTTTAATTTTTGATAAGTTGGATTTTGCGATATTTTAATTATTCAATGTTTTAAATTTTAGATTTTTCGATTTCTCAGTTGTTTTTCAGTTCTTCAGTATTTCTCTTTTTCGATTTTTCAAATTTCGACGTTGCTAAATTTTCAGTTTTCTCAATTAAACTGTCTTTGATTTTCCCATTTCTCGACTTCTCCAAGTTTCGATTTTTTAGTTCTCCAATTCTTCGATTTTTCGACTTGTTTTTTTGGTTCTTCGATTTCTCAATTTTTTAATCTTTTAATTTCTCAATGTTTCGATATTTCTTTCACTTTTGGGAATTTTTGATATTTCGTTTCGTCGAGTTTTCTGGATTTTTCCATTTTTTATTTTTTAGATTTTCAGTTTTGTCTTTTTTAAACTGTAGATCTTTCAATTTTTCGACTGTTTTATAAGTATGTATTTCGATGTATTAATTTTTAAATTTTTAAACTTCTAGATTTTTCTATTTTTCGAGTTTCTAATTCTTCTGTTTTAATTTTTCAATTTTCGATTTTTCAATTTTTTGAGATTTGCATGTTTCGATATTTTGTTCAATCTCTCGATTTATCAATTTTTCCACTTTGTCAGTTTTTGAGTTTTTCGATGTTTCGGTTTTTCGACTTTTTGCTTTTGGGCTTTTCGATTCTTCGATGTTTCATTTTTTGAATTATCCGATTTTTCAATTTTCCAATATTTAATTATATGTATTTTTTAATTTGTCGAATTTTGACGTTTCAGAATTTTCAGTTTTTTTATTTTCCAATTTCTTGTTCCCAAAGTTTCGATCTTTCAGTTCTTCAGTTCTTCAATTCTTTAAATTTTCAATTTTTCCGGTTTTTGATTTTTCGGTTTTTCGATTTTCCAAGTTTGCGATTTTTCGAATTTTTTGACTTCTTGATTTCTCAATTATTTAATCTCCCAGTTTTTGGATGTTTCGTTAATTTTGTTCCTATTTTTCAACAATTTTTCGAAATTTGAGTATTGGGATATTTTAATATTTCGACTTTTCGAGTTCTGGATTTTTCGATTTCTCGACTTTTTGCTTTTTGGATTTTCAATTTTTCATTTTTTAAACTTAAGATTTTTCAATTTTTCGACTGTTTTATCCTATGATTTCTCAAAAATTGAAAGTATTCGATATTTTAACTTTTCAGTTTTTAAAATTTTAGCTTTTTCGATCTCTCGAGCTTTCAGTGTCTCTATATTTCAATTTTTGGAACATTTAAATTTTAGGTTTTCCAATTTTTCAATGTTTCGATTTTTCAGTTACCCGATTTTTCAATTTTTCAATTTTTTAATTTCGGGAGTTTCAATTTCTCGATTTGTCGATTATCAGTTTTTCGATTTTAAATTTTAGATTTTCGAAATTTTATTTTTTGGTTTTTTGATGTTTGGATTTCTCGATTTTTCAATTTTGCGATATTTTAATTTTTCAATGTTTTAAATTTTCGATTTTTTGATTTTTCAGTTCTTCAATATTTAATAATTAACTATATTTTTCAATTTTTCAAATTTTGACGTTTCTGAATTTTCAGTCTTCCGATTGATTTTCCCATTTAACGACTTCCCAAAGTTTCGATCTTTCAGTTCTTCAATTCTTTTTGAAGTTTTTGGTATAGTTGGTTTTTCGATTTTCTAAGTTTGCTTTTTTGACTTCTCGATTTCTCAATTTTTTAATTTCCCAGTTTTTGGATATTTCGTTCAATTTTACTATTTTCCAATTTTTCGAAATTTGAGTATTGGGATGTTTTAATACCCATTTCGACTTTTCGAGTTCTGTATTTTTTTATTTCTCGACTTTTTACTTCTTGGATTTTCAATTTTTAATTTTTTAAACTTTAGATTTTTCAATTTTTCGATTGTTCGATATTTTAACTTTTCAGTGTTTAAAATTTTTTGACGCCTCACGGCCAAGACACGAAACCCCCGACGAAAAGAAACAGCGCAAAAAAGCGGTCAAGGAAGCACAAGCGGATAAGCGAAAAACGAAAATCAAAAAACATGTAAAAAAAGGAAGGAGAAAGTCACCAACAAATAAATTTTTACGGCATCAGTTTCGTATATTCTACAAAAAACGAGCTTTTTTTGACGTTTTCCCACGCTTTGGAGCAATACACAAGCCACGTTTTTTCGGTCAGTTGGACGTGGGTGAGGGAGTTCTTGATGGCGCCTAAAATATTGGCCCTGAGTTTTCTGACTAGGTCTTCTAGAGGTGGATGGCCGCTGTAGGTGGTTTCTAAATCCAACAATTAGCGCTAGTTTTTTGAAAAATAACTGAAATTACCTGAACTTTGACTGTACTCTGGTATTAAAAATAAGTTGAAAGGGTCCCCACACGTCTCTTCATTTAAATACGAAATTAATTTACACGTGGCGAGCCCCAAATTCGAGTCCCTCTGTAGCTTAGTTTTCTGAAAAAGCAAGTGATACACTTCCTGCATTAGTTTGAATTTTTTCGGCGAAAAATCGTCCATTTGAGCTTTGTTTTGTACTAATAATAGGTGCGGGAAGTGGTCGTTTAGCTCGTCTTCAGCATTGGAGTGTGTCGGTTTTAGCATTTCCGCCGTCTGCAGAAACCTTATCACGTTACTATCGAAAAAATTCTCCTGTACTACTATTAAAACGTGACAAACGCTCATCAAGAACGCCGTTAGTTGCAACCCCTGTATTTCCCCGCTGTTTTCCAGCGGTATGAACTCGCTAACAATGTTAGATCGTTTGTTCTCGCTCTGGACCAACTCATCAAGAACCGCCACAGACATACTAGGTTGACAATCCAGCAAAATCACCCTGTTGGAAGTAACAAACAAATCAATCCCGCGTGTCGTGTTACAATTATTTTCCACGTCTTCGCTCGTCTGGATTTTAAAAATCTCGCTCCTGACTTTATCCTCCTCACTGATCTTAATATCAGTTAATAGTTTCACGTTATCGCCGTATTCCTCCTCCCGCGGTCCCTCGCTGTTCCTAAAAATCGCCTTCTTCAACTCGCTACTCACACTATCGTGCGCAATCAGGTTCAAAATCGTCGATTTACCCACACCCTGCGCCCCCACGACCCCGACAACCAAAAAATCGCTGTTTTCTTGCATAAACTCTTGTATATTTTCCACGTAGAGCACCGAATCGTCCAAAAATTTGGCGCTTTTGGTCATCTGCTTAACCCCGGGGAGAGGGTGGCTCTCGGACGTCGGCGTCGTCGCGGAAATGGTAATAGAGTTGGAAAAATCGTGCTCCTTGTTGCCCTTTTTCGGCGACAAAGTTTCGTCTGTGTGCTCGCGCGCCTTCAGCAAAATCGTGGGTTGTTTGACTTTCGGGGTCTCCGACTTGGACGGGGTGTCTTTGGGGTCTTTGTCCGACTTGAACGAGGGGCCGCTGGGGCTGCGCCGACCATAGTAACTCCGGCCGAAACTGGGTGTCTCCTGAAACGCAACATTACCAAAGTGTTTATTTAACCCAAATACGTGCTTTATTCTGCGTCGAGAACTTCTTCTTCCCGTAAAACTTCGATCGATCGTAGTCCGACATTTCGAGGTTATGTTTATCACTCTGTCACTTGTCACTAGGTGAGGTTGGCAACAATGACGTAATGTTTATTGCGTTTTTCCGATTTTCTTCGAAAAGCAACTCCTAGTTTGTAGTAAATCGGTGACTAAGTAGATTGTAAATTATTATCTAATTGTTGTTTTATGAGTTGCGTAGGTTTTTCCGCGTGACACATCGCACGCGTACGTCCTGCGATTAGTAGGTCTGGGGGCATATGACAGGCAACGTGACAACAAATTATTTATTGTTGTGTAGCCCCATTATCAATTCATTCCACATGACGCCCGTTAACAAACACTTTAAATAACAGTTGTGATTTCAAGCGCAAAATGTCAAATTTGCCAAACCGACGAATCGCGTGCTGGATGTCCGAGAAAAAAATCCAAAAAATCAACTGGAGCGAGTTCGAAGAGACGTGCAAAAAGTACGGTTTTGGCTTGTTCAAGGTAAGTGCCCCGATTTTTTGGTCGTGTCTAATGCGGTAAACTTCCAGCTGGACCTATCCAAGCCGATCGAGTCTCAAGGTACGTTCTGTGTTTTTTTACATAAATTAACCGATATTATCGCTTCTGCTGATCAGGGCGACCCTAAGGTAAGAACGTCCATACCTTAAAATTCCAAGAAGACCCTCATTACACCTTATCAACATTCCAGTGTGCCAACCTGATAAAGAAAGTTGAAGATTACATCACTACACACACTTCAGTTATAGTATTAGACCCCATTCCAAACGTGCGGCAGCTCCTTAATCGCTACATATCATACAGGAAGATCAATTCAACCAACTTGCACAAATACGGGATTTTTATCCCTAATTTCTGCGAGCTGAGACCGACGCATTCCGTTGACCTCCCCCAGCAGCTGAACAATGCGAGGGTCACGTACCCCTTCATCTGCAAACCTTCGCTGGGCCACGGGTCCAAGCAAGCCCACGAAATGTCCATCGTTTTTAACGAAAAAGGGCTGAAAGATTGCAAAACGCCCTGTGTAGCACAGAGTTTCATCAATCATAATGCAGTCCTATATAAAATTTTTATTGTCGGTGATAAGCACCACTTCGTGGAGCGGCCGTCTTTAAAGAATTTCCAACCATGTGATGAGCACACCATCCACTTTGATAGCGGGGACATCTCAAAAGCGGGTTCCAGGAACAGCCTGACTTTACTGGAACCCCATGAAAGAGTCAGCAAAACAAAGCCGGATCAGGACGTTCTTAAACGGATCGCGGTCACGCTGCGGGACGCTTTCGGGATGGACTTGTTGGGGGTGGACGTGGTGATCGAGAACGCAACCGGGAAATACGCAATCGTCGACGTTAACGCGTATCCAGGTATGGTTGTGGTATGTTTGTCGATCTGCGTAATACTGGTTTTTAGGGTACGACGGTTTTCCCAAGTTCTTTGACGCTCTTGTGGGCTGCATCAACAATAAAATCAACGCCAAATATGATAATAAATTCGGACTGATTGATCTTGTCCAGGAGAAAATTGATGCGTAGTGTGGATTTTTCTCTGACTGTACTGCCAAAAAAGCGTTGCTCAAAATGCGAGTCAATGCTCAGACATTCCATATTTTTATAAAGTTTTAATGTATACAAAAAGCCAAAATTCCGTGCTGAGGCAGCGTGAAATTGAGTATTGTAATTTTTGACTGGGTTTTGTTTACCAAAGAGCAATCATTCGATCAATTGATTTCCATGTACTTAAGCGAAATGAACAATTTTTGTACTTAAGTTGTATATAGTTAGTGTTTTATTTATACTACGGATTGTTAGCAAGTGTACCCACTTCTCAATAGACTTGGAAACATTTTTAATGAGTGGTTTTAATGGAAATTCCTTTCGTAATTGCGCGGTTGCGAATTAAGTTGAAAATATTCTGCGGCGTACTTATCGCTGATAAAATTAATTAAAGCTATTTGCTGTCTGTGGACTGTGATAATTGAGCGCACGTTTTTTTGGAAAGCGGTTTAAATGGATTCTCGTCCAGATTTAACTCCAACTTGTTATCATTAATTTCTAATTAAGTTGTTTACCATTGTGCTATAATTTCGTTAATCTTTACTACGTAGTAAAAAACGACTTAAAAAACGTCCTGCATTCTATAAGTCGCGCATGCGCACTGTCGGCCGCCTTTTTTTAACCTTGAATCCAACTGCGACCAACAAAATTTGTTTTGTGGAGGAGAAAATTACGGTCATTTTTGATGTATTTGGTACGTTTTTTGTGGTGAATTATTCAACGGTGAAATTAAGGTCTGCCACAATTAACTGCTAATTAAACGTTACATATTTCTAACGTTCACTTTTGGACTTAACTTTCTCCATCCGTCATACACACTTCAGAAGGAATTAAAACTAAAGAGACCACCAATTGATGTGTGCCTAATTATGGCCGAGTTTCTTTCGGCGACTGCGGTAATTGGGGCTTTTTTCTTTACGACTGTCAAGATTCTGCTAGAAAATGAAAGAAAGTTTGTTTTATGCGGTTATTTAAAATTCCCGTTAAGTATCATGAGTTTGAAATTGTGGTTTTTGCGATGTGCGTTGCATTTCCTATCTAGGGGAGAGCGGGACGAGTTAGTGCAAATGGAATTTTTTGTGATGACGTCATCAACTTCTTTCCAGGGGATCAAAAAGTTTTGGTCAATGTTTTGTAAGAAATAAACCGAAGTTAGTGCAATAGAGATTTTAGCGACGTCGATTACTTAAATTCTAAGAAAAATAGGAAACTTTTATCTCAAAAATTTTATTTATTTAATGATAACACACACATAAAACATTTTGGTTATCGTTTTATCGCCTACGTAATAATCTAATAGTACATCTAAAATTTCAAATTAACCAATCTAGTACCTAATTTCTGAAATTATCTGTCTAATAAAATCGCCACCAGGCCAACAAATACAGCAAAAAATTGGTCTGAAGGTATTTAGACAGAACCTCGCTTGCCTTTCGAGTAAAAAATTTTTGATTTTACGAATTTTAGTTTTTTCTTGTTAAAATAAATAAGCATGCTTCAAGTGAGTTTTTTCTAGTAAAACTTAATCATGGCGTCATCAACTTTTTGCCAAGGACAAGGAAGACGATAATAAAAAGGCAACAAAGGGATAAAAAATGGACATAAAAGTGGAAAAAAAAGTCAAAAAACGCCAAAAAGCGACAAAAAATCTGACGGGAAAAGCGACAGACCGCCGTCAAAACAAAAGGGGGGGGGGACAAAAAGGAACCAAAAAAAGGCCATTAAAAAGCGGGACATAAAAGGCCTCAAAACAGTGATAAAAACAGATTTGACACCAAATTGCGACGAAAAAAGATAGAAAAGGGGAAAAAATGCGAGAAAAAAAAGGGGAAGACAAAAAGTGCCACAAAATGGGACCAAAAAAAGTCTCAAAAAAATGTAACTAAAAAAAGGAGAAAAAAAATCACTCACAAAAAAAGCAACCAAAAAACATAAAAAAAAAGAAAAGAGTGCGCCACAAAAATGTGATTAAAAAAGCGGCAAAAACGCCTAAAAAACTGGCAAAAAACGTCAAAAAAGCTGACAATTAAAAAATGTGATAAAAAAAAAGCAAGCAAAAAATACCAAAAAAGTTTGAGTAAAAAAAAGGGGTCAAAAGGGGAACAAAAACCACCAAAAAAATTACGAAAAAGTGCCAAAAAAAGCACCACAAAGACAAAACGCGGTCAAAAAAAAGAGAACAAAAATGTGATAGAAAAGTGCAAAAAAACGACCAAAAAATTAAAAAAAAAATAATTGCGACAAAAGAAGCGACCAAGAAATTGATAGAAAAGGGGGACAAAAAAAGAGGTGAGTGGCTAAAATGGGGAGTTAAAAACGTGAGAAAACAGATCACAAAATTAATGCGACGAAAAAGCGACTAAAAAAAACTACAACAAAGCGCCAACAAACGATAAAAAGCGTCAACAAAGACAAAACGCGGTCAAAAACGGTTACAAAAAGGACAAAAATACAACAGAAAAAAGTATTTGAAAAGGCCACAAAAATGTAACCAAAAAGTAAAAAAAAATCGATAAAAAAAGATCACTCACAAAATTGGCTCAAAAAAAGCAACCAAAAAACAATAAAAACAGAGGAACAAAAAAGGTGAAAAAAAAGGACGCCAAAAAATGTGGATAAAAAGACAAAAAGCACTAAAAACGATTAAAAATAGGCAAAAAGCATAAAAAAAGCTGACAATAAAAAACGACAAAACCCTGTAAAAAAAGGTAGAAAAAAAGGGACGACAAAAAATGTGATAAAAAAAACAGTCAAAAAATGCAAAAAAAGACCACCAAAAAAAGTTTTATAAAAAAACGAGTCAAAAAAAAAGATCACAAAAAGGTTATAAAACGTACAAAAAATGCGGCCAAAAAAGCCATTAAAAGGAGTTAGAAAACAAACTGCGACAAAAGGAGCGACCAAAAAAATGACAGAAAAACAGGTGAAAAAAAAGTGACTAAAATGGGAAGTTAGAAACATGATAAAAAAACAGAAAAATTAATGCGAGAAAAAAAACGACCAAGAAACTACAAAAACAAACCAACCAACGATAAAAAAAGCTGTTAAAAAAGACGAAACAGTCAAAAACGCTTACAAGAAAAGGAGGGCAAAAAATACGACAAAAAAAGTATTTAAAAAGGACACAAAAAATGTAATCAAAGAAGTAAAAAAAAGCGATACAAAAATTTCACTCGCAAAATTGGCACAAAAAAGCAAACGAGGACAAAAAACGTGGCTAAAAAATGACAAAAAGCGCCAAAAAAAGATTACAAGTGGCAAAAAAGCGTCAAAAAAGTTAACAAGTAAAAACGACAAATCCCTGCCAAACAAGGACAAAAAATGCGATAAAAAAAGCAAGCAAAAAATACAAAAACAAGCATCTCTAAAAAAAAGATTATAAAAAAGAAGGGGACAAAAATCGTAAAAAAAATACGACCAAAAAAGTCAAAGAAACGATTAAAAAAAAATAGAAAACAATTTGCGACGAAAGAAGAGACCAAAAAACGATAAAAAAGAGGAACAAAAAAGAGGCAAAAAACCTGAAAAAAGTGACGCCAAAAAATGTGGATAAAAAAAAAGACAAAAAGCGCTAAAAACGACTAAAAAATAGGCAAAAACCATCAAAACAAAACTGACAAGAAAAAACGACAAAACCCTGTAAAAAAAAAGTTAGAAAAAAATGGTCGACCAAAAAGCGATTAAAAAAACAAGCATAAAATACGAAAAAAAGACCACCAAAAAAAGTTTTATAAAAAAACGAGTCAAAAAAAGATCACAAAAAGGTTATAAAGCGTACAAAAAATGCGACCAAAAAAGCGATTAAAAAGACAAATTGCGACAAAAGGAGCGACCAATAAATGACAAAAAAAAGAAGCGATAAGGAAAAGCGGCTAAAAAAGGGACAAAAAGTGACCAAAAAACTGACAAAAAGCACTAAAACACAAAAAGCTCACAAAAAAGAAAAACAAAACTCAGTTTAAAAAAAGAATAACAAAAATAGGATCAAAACACTACAAAAAAAAGCAAAAACAAAAAAGTAAAAAAGCGATTAAAAAAGTTAAAAAAAAATTGCGACAAAAGGAGCGACAAAAAAAATGATAGAAAATGAGGACAAAAAAAAAAGTGATAAAAAAGTGACTAAAATGGGAAGTTAGAAACATGATAAAACAAACCACAAAATTAATGCAACAAAAAACTACAAAAAAGCGCCAATAAACGATAAAAAAAAAACTATTAAAAAAGACCAAACACAGGAAAAGAGGGCAAAAAATACAACAAAAAACGTATTTAAAAAGGACACAAAAAATGTAATCAAAAAAGTAAAAAAGAAAAACGATAAAAAATGCACTCGCAAAATTGCCAAAAAAAGATTACAGGTGGCAAAAAAGCGTCAAAAAAGTTGACAAGTAAAGACGACAAATCCCTGCCAAAAAAGGACAAAAAATACGATAAAAAAAAGCAAGCAAAAAATACAAAAACAAGCATCTCTAAAAAAAAGATTATAAAAAGAGGAGGACAAAAAAACGTAAAAAATGCGACCAAAATGTCAAAGAAACGATTAAAAACGGTGGAAAACAATTTGCGACAAAAGAAGAGACCAAAAAAAAAAAAAGATAGAAATGAGGACAAAAACGAGGCGATAAAGAAACGCGGCTAAAAACAAGGACAAAAATCAAAAAACTACAAAAAAAGCGCAAAAAAACACAAAAAGTTCACAAAAAAAACCAAAACGCGGTGAAAACAGGTCACAAAAAAAATAACGAGAACAAAAAATGCCATAAAAAAGTTAAAGAACAACATGCGACAAAAGAAGCGACCAATAAAATTATAGAAAATGGGGTTAAAAAAAGAGGTGATAAAAAAAGAGTCAAAAACGTGATAAAACAGATTACAGAATTAATGCGACAAAAAAGCGACCAAAAAACTCCAAAAGAGCGCCAGAAAACGATAAAAAGTTGTCAAAAAAAGGACAAAACGCGGTCAAAAACGGTTACAAGAAAAGAAGGCCAAAAATACGACAAAAAATATTTGAAAAGGCCACAAAAATGTAACCGACAAAGTAAAAAAAAAACACAAAAAAGATCACTCACAAAATTGTGACAAAAAAAGCAACCAAAAAACGATAAAAAATAAGAACAAAAAAGAGGCACAAAAACGTACGTAAAAAAAATACACCAAAAATGTGGCAAAAAAGGACACCAAAAAATTTATATTTTTGCCCATTTTTTTTTTAATATACGGAGTCTTTTTTCCCAACAAGAAACTAAAAACTATCTCAGTTGTGATGATTTTTTCATTCTTAATCAGACCGAGG